ACTCAAACTTATTACAAGCAACTTTGAGTTCCAAAATTTAGCATCAAATTTTTCCCTATTAATCAAAAACTATCATGCGCGTGATTTTAAAGCACTCAGTTATGACAATATTCACAGTTCTTCAATTATTAAGTTAAATGATGCACATATGAAACGATTTACCCAACTCAAAGAACAAATTATTTATTGTTTTGGCCGTGTTGATTTCGCACTCAAGAATGTTTTTGCAATTATACACACTATGACGAACAACTTAATTTTTTTGCGCGCTTAAATTATGTTTTTTTGAATTTAGAAGTAAGTTATGACTAAAATATTAATCTCTGACCATTTTCTCTCAAACGTTTTTGTTAAGCCATCAAACATGTATCAACGCGGCCCTAGTTACTGGAATTTATATGAAAAGTTTTTAAAATACAATGCTAGCTTAATTCGTAAAGATCCAAAAAAAAACTTTTTTGAAATAAATCAACAATTAATTACGAAAACTTTAAGTATAATTTTCAAGACTTTTTGAAATTTATTCTATAGAACAAAAAACGTTTAGATCAGAAAGAACTCTATAATTTATCCATAATCTCTAAATAATTTAAATGTTCAGGAATTTTTTTTCTCAGAGATTGCATTCACAGCAGAAAAGGTCCATATCCGAGTTTATTTGGAAATTATCATTTGCTGCAGGAAGACTTTCAAAATGTCTCAAAGGAAAAAGGTTTTTCAAATTTTCGAAAAAATCAGAAAACTCTCAGCTATACTTTTGAGCGTGTGCCCAAACTTTGCAGTCAATGGACTTCAAAGAACACAATTAATTCAATCAAGCGAGTTCATGTGGATCAGAACGTTTATCATACGGATGAGAGTATTCTTAACCATTTTTAAAAATATTTTCAAATAATTTTACATCAGACTCCGAAAAACTAGTGATGACTTTTTCAAAATACTAGAAATCAAACAAACTAGAGAAAAATGTGAAAGATGAATACAATCATTTTACAGATGATGAAATTCACTTGGCTATAAACAAACTGAATTTTAAAAGCTCTTCTGGACCAGACGGCCTAACATCCCGGCTATACAAGACTTTCATGGATGAATTTTGCTCAATTTTCGCTAAAGTATTCCCTCATTTTGCTCAAGGCGGAAAACTCTCAAACAATTTTTTTAAGCAATAATCAAATTGCTCCCGAAATCTGAAAATGCCGAAGCAGTACAAGATTTTCACCTGTTTAGTCTCATGAAAACCGACGCGTAAATGTGTGGCCATGTAATCTGTAAAAGAATCTGCAAAAAAGATCTTTTCAAAATTGTAAGAGTTCATCACCACGCGTATTTGTCTAAACGACAAAAACACACAGAAAAACGAATGTTGAAATAAGCTATTTCTCCAGAACGATTGGCTAACCGAGGTTCATATGCAGTAGAATTAAACTTTTCTAAAGAATTTGAGTTGACAGACCACTTCTCATCAAAATTTTGAAAGAGTTGAACCTTGATAAATTTTCCGTTAGAGCTAATAAAACCTTTTTAATAAGACGAAAAAGCAGTAATTGAGGTAAATGGTCTCTTATCTATCGGCTTCAAAATTCATCGCGGTAAGAGACAAGGTTGCCCTTTTTCCGCATTTTTTTTCACAATTTTCATCGAACCCCTTCTTCAAGCAATTGAATCTAAAGAAGCAATTGAAGGTTTCTGGTTATTGTGTTGCAAACAAACTCAACTGGTGATGAACATAAGTAGAAGTAAATTAATTTCTTTACCTGATTTATCACCCTATAAAACAGTCAAGGAAACGAAAATACTTCGTTTCTTGTTTTACAGGTGCAAAAAATGAAAATATTGAACAAATGTTGAGTTCTCAAATTCAAAAACAAAGTGGATTAATTTCACTTAGTAAATTTTTGAGAACAAATTCATTAACACTGTCAGTTTATGTTATCCCTAAATTTTTTCATATGGCTCGTCATACTAAAGTTAACTTGAAAACCGTTAGTAACTGCCAAGGTTCATTGAAAGCTGAATTGAAAAAATCAAACAGACTCGATATAAGAAAGAAGTTAGAATGTGGAGTAGGTTTACCATGCCTTCACTCCAACTTTTCAGTCTTGAAATTATCGATTTCTTTGCTTTCGATATATTGTTACCAACAAAAACTATTCCCTGAAAGAAATCGAAAATTTGTTGAGAAATACGAACATTTCAGTTGAAAAAAATTCGAGTGATTTTGCAATATTTTCAAATGGTACAAACAGCCGTTCAATTATAACGCTGCAGGCAAAATCGCGAGATGTTTCTTATTTCTGCTTACAAAACTGAAATTTTCATCGAGCTGCAAATTTCCGCTTGTTTTTCGCTGCAAACCGTTATCTCTGTTCAGAAGAAGAATTAAGTAATTTTACAGGCAAAGCTTGGAAACACTCAATGCTTGATGTCCGGGAAAAATACTTTCTTTATAAAATCGCATACGCTGTTTTTAAAGATCGCTGTTTTTTTTTTTCTTGAGAGAATGTACGAATTTTTTTTGTAATTTGTACTGCGAAACATTCGAACACCTAATTTTCAGTTGTCCCTCGCTACAAACTTCAAAAAACATATTACAGATTAACAATTGGCGGGACATTTCTGCATCAACAAACATGGCAAAGCTGAAGTAAGTTGTTGCAGTTATTCGTGGTGCATACTCGAAATCAGCGAAGTTATGGAAAATCAAATTGCAAATTTTTGTGTCATGGGAAGTATGGATGATAAGAAATAAAAATTGCTCCTTCTGATATAAACTACCCAGGATATGTTAGACCTGAGCAAGAAATCAGGTTACCCGGTATTCGGTAAAAGTAATGTTAACTGACAAAAAAACTGCTCAGAAGAAGAAAGTAGATATTTCAAGCGTACCAGGATACTCTGTATCCAGTACTACAAAATTTATTTGAAACACAAGTCAAAGAAAAAACAAAAAACAGTTTGCCGAACAGGATACCCAGTAACAGGTTGAACAAGAAGTGAACAGGAACAGTTCAGAATTTAACTAGACGAGCTCTTAATAATTTACAACCAGTTTCTTGTGTTAGCAATTAATTTACTAACTCGATGAGTTGTTTTCGATTAATATGATGTATTTGATTTACCTGTTGATTATGAAACTAAAATCTAAGTAAAAATCCTGCCGATGCTCATAGTTGCGAAATTATTTGAAGTTTACTTTTTATCAAAAATTTCTTGAACCATATCTTTCTGGTTCTTTTTGGGTTTTTATTAAACAATCCATTGGGGGCACAACTTTGCCCAACATTAGCAGTACTGTTGTGATTCTGGGGAGCGACAACATCTAAAAAATGGAAGTTTTTTTTCTCGATTTTTTATAGATGATTTCGAAGTTTTTTCTCATATTAATTGGAAATTGCTTGAGTATTTCAGAAGCGCAAGTTCTGTACATCTTTTACACGTTCTCACTGGTGCCCAGATCTTTTTACGAATGGTGGAAAAAGTTAAATTACCTGAACTTTTTAAAGCTTCCTCTCGTGACAGATTGCCCATCAACGCTGCTTTGAAAAAGATTTTTGGTTACTTACATGATTTGAGTCAACCAGAACTTCGTGTTGCATTGAGATTTGCGAGTCTCGAAACTGTTCATCCGATAATGTTCTCTTCGAAAACACTAAGCCTTATTCTTCAAGCTTAATCTTGTTCACTGTTACGTTCGTTGGAAATAGCTCTGTTCTTACATGGATTTTATGGTTCAATTTGGTTGTTACAATATTTTTTTACACAAATACTCATGCAGCTAAGTAATTGTTTTTTACGATGATTCGAATGATCAAGTCTTGTGTAAAATCATGACAAAATTTTAAAGGAAAAAAAGTATAATCCTAGGTTGCGCACTGGAAACTGAGTGATGCTAAAAAACGCTTTAAGGGAGAAATTAGGCGTGCATGATTTTCCTAACAGTTACAAAGTAATAGGAACTTCCATCGAAAACTAGCTAGGAATATTTCAAAAATTTATTATGTGCCGTTTCTCAGAAATGGACAAACATATTAATAGAACGACGTTTAAAAATTTCTCATGTTTCCAGAAAATGAGAATTCGAGCCTTATTCAAACTTTAGAAAGCTGGCAGATCGGTGCTGTATATTTATTAAAGTTTTGTTTGGAAACGTCGATTTTTTTTGCCCTATGTCAAAACTCGTTAAATATTCTCATAAGATTCTGCGCCGCAGTTGTTTTTTTTTTTTTGCAGAAAACTGGCAACAAAGCTTTTCGACTACTTTTTGGATCATTTTGAATTAAAAAAATGACGTTTTTTGGCCTCGCTTGTTACTCAAATTGAGTGTATTTTAGCGCTCATAGTAAAAATTTTGGTTTAACAGCGAGAGCTCTGGGACGCTACTGCTAGGGTGGGAGTTGCTGTGAACAAAAATGCGTGTGACTGATTCGTGCGAATTTCTTTCGTGTGAATCAGGAAGCGTTTTCCTTGAAACGAAGAGAACGGATAGTTGTGGAAATCACGATTATTGAGACAAGTCACGTTCACTTTACTCTCTCAGCTTAATAAGATTCTCGGTTACTGGTTTAGTTTAACTCACTCCTTCGTTTGTTTTTTTATATGTTTTGGCCCTTCCTAAGTTTTAGATGGTCCATTTTTCGACCATTTGATTTTGATATTTCTGCTGGGGCATTTTTGAGCTTTACCTTCGTGACATTGCTTTTCTCGAATTTCCCCTCTCCAACTTAAGTTTTATCCTTGAATTGAAATTTAACAAATTTGTCTTGGGTTTTGTGGCTGATTTAATATTTTTTTACTTCTTTTACTTCTTTTATTTTAAGAACATGTTTTTTAATTCCAAAAATTTGATCTCGGTAACTATATTTTGTTAGAGAATAACTGTTCATATGAATTTTTTCAATCAAAATTTTTAAAATTTTTTTTATAGCTTTAGATTTTTAGAAATCCAAAGCCTTTGTGACTGGGTTATATGAGGAGGGACAAGTGAAGTAACTTCGGTTACCAAGATAATTTTTGACCTTCTGATTATTACAAAATTTAGAAAAAATTTTAAGGAACAGCTAATTTTTACTCGATCTCAAATTTTCATGATTTCTTATTTCGTTTATGCAAAGCATGTTTTTATTCAGCAGTGAAAATCAATTTAAGTGTTAGAGTGATGTATTGAACAACAGTTATGCCGGCTCAAAAAAATACAGCTGCCAAGGGTGATTATGTGTACTCTGATGAATCCTTCGATGAAGACTCATACAATTCCGACAATGATGCTAGAAAAGCAGGAAGAGGTTCTGTTTTACATGATAGATTAAAGTCCGCTACTACTACTAACATCTGCTCGAGTGTACAATCGCCTATCACACCTATTACTAACAAAACTAACTCGCGGCAATTGCAAATTAAATCTCAGTTGCTCAAAAACAGAGGTTGGTTGCTTTCTGTTGGTTGCGTGGAAAAAAGATTGCACCCGAATTTAAAATTTCTCCCCATTTTTGATGGCTTGGACAAAAAAGCTCATTTTAATCTTGCTTCACCAATAATGGTTTTTCTTTGAAGACTTTGTGAAAAATTTGGGAATACAGTCTTTGATGAATGGCTGCTCATATTGAATTTTAGTTTCAAGCTCAATTTTACGAAACAAAGCTAATAGTTTATTTTGTATTTTTTTTAACCATAGGCATTCGTTTCAAACGCCAGTGATGCGCAGCTCCGCTTTGCCTAGGGGCTGAATTTAAAATCATTAATTTAAAGGTGCACCATGACTAGGGTTGTGCAGTTACTAATAAGTAAAATTCGTTTACTAGTAAGTGTTGAATGACTAGTTCACCAACTAAAAGTAAACAGTTTGAAACGCATGTTCCTGAATGCACGGTCAATAAAAAAGACTGAAGCAACCATCTCCCTCTCCTTAGACCTGGCACATCATAATAACGACGTTTCTTGTCTAACAGAAACATGGCTGAAAAGCGAAATCGAAGACTCCTATATATATATTCCCGATTATAATCTACTTCGTCATGACCGCAACCCCGAAAACTCAAACAAGTCAACTGGAGGTGAGGTTTGTGCCTACATTCGATCTACATTCAATGTTAAAAAACTCACACATAACAACTGCAACTTGTTTGAAGTGTTGTGGCTCCTCGTCGACATATCTCCCCGCATATCCTCTTTGTTGTATATTATCCTCCACTCCATTGATCAATAGAAAGGAAAACTATTTAGACTATCTCACAAAAACGTTCGACGAATTTCTTAGACAGTACCCACACGCAGCGTTCATTATTGGTGGCGATTTCAACGACTTCGACACTGGCGCAATAGAATCTTCTCTTGGGATACACTCAGTTTTCACGGGTGTCACCCATAAGCGACCGCAGCTTGATTACGTTATGGTATTGCAGAAGGCACCAGTGAAGCAATGCTTCTCTATGAAGACTACAATAAAGACAGACCACTTAGCACTTGTTGTCAAACCTAGAGTTCCCATACCTACAGTACGGCGTAAGGTGTCTTCCGTGATCAACGACATCACAAAAGATGCCAATTGAACCTCGCTTTGGATGAATTTGATTTCAGTCCCCTTTTTTCGATCAAAGACCCTCAGATTGCCTCGGACTATATGATCGATACTCTGTTTGATCTATACAATTTATATTGCCAACTCAAAACCGTTAAGCTTTCCAATAAAGACCCACTCTACATGAGCCCACTAGTGAAACTCCTATTGAAGAAAACACAGCAACTGATGAGAAGACACAAACATCGTGATGCCGATCTCGTATCCTCGCAAATCAGTGCCCTGCTTGTTAGCAATATTGCCTCGGACAAAAAAGCTAAAGGGTCAGCTAAGTGGTGGAAAAAAGTCAACACCTTGTCTGGTTGGAAGCAGAAAGAAGTATTACGCATTCCTTTCTCAGCAGAAGAAATGAATAAGTACTTCTGCAGTATATCCACTGTTACCAACTATCAAGATCATGTTTTCCTAGATTGTACTTCATCAGAGTTGCCTCAACTAGAGCTACATCAAGTTTATATTTATCTAAAGCGGGTCAAGATCACTGCGGCTGGGCATGACGATCTCCCACATTGGTTTATCAGAGAAAATGCACACAATCTGGCTGAACCGTTACATCATCTCTATAACCTTTGTATTCGATATCAAATATTTCCTAATGTGTTCAATTTATCTAAAGTAGTACCCATTACGAAGTCGAAAGTTATCACTCAATGCAACATGCTTCGGCCCATATCTGTTAACCCGATACTTGCTCGGATTTTTACGATCAAGACTCGTATACGATCAATTTGTTTCCAATTCATACAATTTGTGGCTGAATAAGAACCAATTTGGTTTCAGGAACAAATCTTTGACTATTTGTGCGCTCATCAAATTAATGGACGACTGCAAGTCTCTCGAGAAACAGGGATGCGCTTATATCCGAATCTTTTCTTTGGATCTTAGCAAAGCCTTTGACAGAGTGCCACACCATCTCATAATCTCACAATTATCTAAAGTTGTCCCGAGTGTGAATCCCTATATTGTAAACTTGATTCGTTCTTTTTTGATGCACCGGAAACAGTTTGTTGTTTATGACAACCCCAGATAATCAACGAGCAGTACCAATAGTGGTGTACCGCAGGGGACTGTGATAGGTCCCCCGTGTTTCAATTTTTCATATGACGACTGTCAAGTTACTCAAACCCTGGCGACATCTGCAAAGTTTGCGCATGACAACACCCCCTGCATCGGTGGTAAACATGGAGTTGTTTCGGCGAATCAAGCCACCGGTCACATCATGGAATGGTTTGAATCCAATAATCTTATCTTGAACAACGAGAAATCCAAAGAAGTTCAGATCAAATTATCTCACTCAATTACTATTCAACCTGTTCATGACATTGAGATCACCGACAAACTTAAAATTTTAGGCATCACGTTCACCGATAAACTCTCTTTTGAACCTCACATAACAAAGGCAACCAGAAAAGCCTCATCACAGCTATTTCTGCTGATTAAACTGAAAAGCCGTGGATACACCAAAACTGAACTCAATCTTCTCTACAATCAGCTTGTTATGCCCATCCTATCGTATGGTATTCAAGTATGGGGGGGGGGCGCACCCCATATTTGCTCGACAAGGTAGACCGAGTCCAGAGGAGGGCTGTTGATGCAAGCGTTATTCAAGGGTTTGTCTCAATCAACGACTTAGTAAGGAAAGAGGAGGAAAAACTTTACCGAATTATATCGAGAGATGACAATCATATTCTTTCAAGTATAATTCCATCTCGATCAGAGTATAGCGAAGCAAAATTGAGAGCGCGAAACCCAGTCGGCATTTATTTGATGAAAGAAAATATATGCGGCATTTCCCTGACAGGTTCTTGAGAAACTACAATTTGTAAATGTGTTTGCCAATCATGTTTATTGGGAAATCTCTGAGAGGTCTCGGAATATAAGCGCTTTTAGTACGGTTCTATAACTTGGCATACAAATCACTGATATTGCCACGAACCATTTGACCGGAATGAAATTTCGGATTCTAATTGATTTTCCATGAGAAACTACAATTTGTAAATGTATTTGTTAATCAGCAGTTGTACTTTACTGATTTCAATTAAGACTCATTTATTTATTTAGTTAAGTTACTTGTAAGTTACCACTTTTTTTTTACTAATAAGTTACTTTTACTTAGCAGTAAGTTTCACAATGTCAGGGTCTGCTTGAAATTACCAATTTTGAGGACTTTTCGTTTTACACAAACTCAAAATACGCTAAATAATCACTATGATCAGTATTATCACGTAAAGCAGCGTTGCAGTATATGAAAACACGTTTATCTGCTCTATCGATTGATAATTGAGCCTCATTTCTTTCAAAATTTTCTTTTTGGTTCAACTTACTAGTAATAAGCCTTATTTTACTTACTAGTAAGCTACTGGTACATTTACTAGTAACTTACTTACTAGTAAAAAATTTTGCACAACCCTAATCATAACCTACTTCTTATGGTGTTTTTTTGCGCGTTCACATAAATTTCAATAACAGGTGATAGAAATGTTTCCTTTTTGTTCAGGTGATGTGAAATAAATTGTTTGTGGCCGACCTTTTTGCATAAAAAAAAATATTTTGAGTAGTTGAAACTTTTTATTTCAGGCAAGAAAAGAAAAAACTCCCAGCTAAGCATTCTACCGTCCCAATTCAAAGATGAGGCCATCCAGCAGTGGTGTCACGAGCAAATTACGAAGCGAAAGAACCTGCAGAATAAAGTAGGAAATTCTTCTCACCAATATAATGCGTTTTGTATATAATGAAAAATTCGTTAATCTGATTATCCTGAATTACCGAACAATTTTACCGTAAACTCTGGCCCCAACATTTTGTGATGTTGAATCTAACTTTTGAGGTCATGAAATAGACATAAATCTTTGTGACTATATCATCTTAAACGAGAAGAGCCGGTTACTGTGCAAATTCTCAGCCTAGTGCAAAGCAATCAGTTGCACCAGAGTAGTCTTTCAGACCTTTACTGAGGGGTCTGAAACACCAGGATTTGACTCTGAAAAGGGGTGGCAAGCTGCATAAAAACCCAGCTTACCAGTCCCCCTGCCTTAATTGGTACTTAGACATCTTTTTTTAACTGGCAGTCCCAAACAAGAAGTTTAAAGGCGGACGCCCCTCTCCTCAGGGATTCAACCCCTGCCTTAATTGGTCCTTAGTCATCTTTTTTAACTTGAGAGTCCCAACAAAAGTTTAAAGGCGCCTTCGACGCCAATATATATCTTTTTTGAGGGTAGAGCGCGCGCCGTAAAAACGCAATTTTGTGTCAAAAGTCTTCTCAAAAGTGCGTAAAAGTGTCGTTTTTGACCTGTTTGTTTTTTTTCAGAAAGTTCGCCTGCCGAAATAAGGTCTTTTTAGAGACATGCACTCTACCTCGACAAAATCCTAGATCTGAATTTGAACACACCATTGCTAAAATCTTTCACAGCCCCGGGTAATCATCGGAATAAAGCCTAATGCATTTGAACTTTTTCTGCTCAAATTTTCAAAACATCTGGTGGTTAATTGGTTGTTGTGGAGATTTATGAAAATTAATATTGTGGTGATTTAAGGAAACGTGATATCAACAAGTTGTACAGTGAACCACCACTGGTATTTTGTAAACCCTTACATTGCAAACTTAATGTAAACCCTGATATGAGAGCATCAGTAAAGCAATCGAATTGCACTTTTGGTCAAAATAAATAATTGTATTAAACAATTTTAAGTTTAAAAATTTGAAGCTCATTTGTATTAGCTCATCAGTTAATTTTACTTTGATAAACGTATGAAATCAAAATACGGATGGATAAGTTTTTTTTAAATAATTCGCGATGACATTGAGTTGTTTAAAAATTGTGCATTGAACGGCCTCCAAATAGTTTCCAAAACAGAAAGCAGCTAAATTCCAAAAATTTATTGGACAACAGTTACTTGTCAGTTGAAAGATTCTCAATCGAACCCAACAGTTCATGTTTAATTTCACACTCTCAAAAAGGATAAAAAATTGAATTTGGAGACGTTCTATAAAGAAATTTTAAAGAAAAGCAGATTAAGGGTTTTTTATTCGATATACTGATTCACACTTATTTGTTTTTCCCAATTTTTCTTGAAGTAATTTTTGTTCAGGTTGTAAATTGAATTTTGCATTTTCATTCTTAAACAGCGGAAGTTGTTTTTCGAAAAATTAACTCTAGATTAGTTCGTTTATTATAATAAATTCAAATCAATTGAACAACGGGTCTGGCGTAGAGGTAAAACATTCGAATCCACCCGGAACTTAATTTTTGTTTTCAAACTAGAAATGTTCTGCTTTTTTGGGGCAATCGTCCGCCTTTTTATTTTTTTTTCAGCGTAGTTACCGGAAACTTTTTCAGAGATTTACTTTCCTTCCAATATTTTTGAGGTCAATTAGTAGAAGTAATTGATTTGATTTTTTGTGGAAATGTTTTTTGCGTTTTTCGAAAAATTTTAATACTAATTTCACAAAGAAAATTTTAAAAAATTTTTCATCAAAAAAGTTTTTATTGTCGATTAGCACAGATTAATTATTCATGCAAATATTATTCCAGCAATTAGCATTATTTGGTTGTTACCGCTTCATAATTTTTGTTCCGATGAAACTTTAACCTCAGTTTTTTATTTGGCATGTTGTTTTTTTTTTGAATGATTTTTATTCCAGACAAATTGTTAGAATTTTCAGACAAATTGATACAAGTCGGTTTAGTTTCCGAATTGGGTCTTGCATTAACTACATATAAAGCACTCGTAGATAATATATAAGCCGTACATTTTGGTTGATTTTCGGCTTATTGGCTGTTGATATTAATTTTGTTTGTCGGCTTTTCTACCTAAAATTTTGGTTCGTACGAACTTTTAGTCTTTTTTTGAAGACCAATAAGACTCTGGCTCAATTTTTCTCAATGCTCAAAATCAACCCCATAAGGTTGTCTTGAAATACTTAAATAATTTTAATTATGAAAAAAAAAACTTTTTGTTTTTCTAGTTCCTTTTCAATTTTCTTTCGCTCGAAGTCTTCTTAGCTACTTCTTCAGCGTCATGCTGTTTTAATTATATATTGTTGAATCGCAAGTGGTGCGAAGCTCAGCTTCGCCTTTTTGTTTAATTTGTCATCCGCGTCATGTCGTGTTCCTTTTTTTTAAGGCTTGCAACGTTTTTTTTGGATGAAGTAAATTTACTTAGTTTGGTAAGCAGGCAGTTATAATGTCTTGTTTCGTCTTTCGAATACAGTAGCTGATTTTTTGTGCTCGCTGTTATTTTTCTCGAGATAAATTTTGAATTCTTATCTTAAAATTTTTGATGCATCTGAAAGATATTGATTAGCTAAAAGTGAATGACATTAGTTTATATACCTCATTGAAGATCTCGCCTCCCTGTTTTTCTTCGTTAAGTTATGCTGGTTTAAAAACTGCCAATTGAGGATAATTAATGCGCGGAAAACTTTTCTTTGCAAACTAAAAACTTCTATGTCTTGCTAGGCTTCTTTAAACATAAAAGTACAATTACTATTTAGAATAAATGTTTGGAGCTGTCGCCTTTAGTTTTATGCATGTATTTACTCCGTGATTTGATCAATAAACTGGAGTTTCGCCGCATAGACCATGCATTCATGGTTAGATTTCTCTTGACCCTTAAGACTGTTTTTTTCCTATGTCTGCAGTGTTTTGACCTCCTAACCACTCCCAGGAAGCGTATAGCTGGTCGAGTGTGGTATCATATTAGAGCGTCTCCAGTCGTGATTTGAATTCTGAAAAGTTTTTACGACAGATTTCTGTGTGTCGAAAAAACTGTTCTCAAGATTTTTATATTCGTCTAATTTACAGTAAAACGCGGAATAATTACTCTATTTCTGGTTTTGTATTTTGTCAGTTATGCTTCATGTTTCTGATTATCGAAAACAAAAACTTTTTATTCAAAATGATTCCGATTTTTAATTTTTTTTGTGCAATGGCTAAATAAACTGTTGTGTACTTTTGAGTTTGCTGTTTCTATTTGCTTGAAAAGATGCATACTCTGTACAAAAGTGATTGCTTAGTGTAAAATAGTATTTATATATCTTTATTATTTCTAGCTGGGAGAAACGACGAAGCGAATGGAAGACCTGCTGGAAGAAAACAAAGACCTCAGGAAGCAAGTGAGATTGAGTGAGAAGAGTCTGCAGAGGATAGAAAAAGACCAGAAGAATGTGCCCTTTATGCTACGTGAGCATTCGGCCGATATTCGTCGTCTCCGTCGCAATGTGGAAGATGAGCAGAAAAATAAGGATGATTTAGAACGGAGGTGAATAGAATAGACATGGGTTCGAACCCGGTTCCTTTCTCTTACCAATTGTTAGAAAAGCGGGATTTCTTTTTAACTTTTTCCTCCACATGGGATCTAGTAATGAATAACCATCCTATAAATAGTTAAATCAATGGTTAAGCGTGTGCGGAATTTTAGATTCTTGAAGTATTTGCCATCTGGGGTGGAGGGGGGAGTGTTGGTGGCGCAGATAGTTTAAATGAACCAAAATTTATTTGCAAGATATTGCTCATATTCATATGCCTGGGCGGATATTTTTTTTGTCCTGGTTAGGAAATTTTGTGTTTGGTGTCCCTATGCCCTCTGGCTTCTCTGAGTGCAAAATGTAATTCTGAAGTGGATTTTCATATATTTTTGTTAGTTGTATTCAGGCTCATCCATTTGAGCCGCTTGCGGTTCATTTGAGATTTACTTTTATTTAACCTTTTCCTGTTTATTTACGCCTTTGTTTCCTATTTGTTATTTTTCTGTATTTGACCTTTTGTTGACCTTTCCCTGTTGTTTTGTTGTTTCTGTAGGAACAAGAAGATGTCAGAGGAGTTGATTCGGATGCGGGACGAGAACAGAGACTTGAAGAGAGTTATCAACGACAAAGACCTCAACAAGAAACAGCTGGACATGAAGATGCTAGATGAAGCAGAATCCAAACTGGAGGAGGCCGAGAAGAAGAACGAAGTGAGTTTTTATATAACCATCATGTAATAGTTATGTAATTATTACGCAAAAAATTATGTTTGGAGTATTTTAAAAATTATAATATCTGACAAAATAAACATTTTCAAAGATTAGATTAGATTCGTTATTATTGGAGAATCGCATACTTTACAAAAAAGGCTCAAAATAAATTTGATTACTTGGATTAGTCATTATTGACACTGTTTTTGCCCAATTGACACTGTTTGACAGTTTTTCTAGGGTAAAAAGCTTTACTTCATAACTATCGAACGTTTTTTTCCGCAAAAAAATGCCCACTAAAAGAACGCCCTTGCAATCAATAAACTTTCAAATGCAAAATAAAAATTACAGTAACATTTTCTAATTCCTTTAAAAAACAGAATGTAAAATATAAATGAAGAAATCAGAAAGGGCAAAAAATACACCTAATCAAACGCTATAACCAAATCATTCAGCAAAAGTTGTTTTTCCGTAAGAATTTGCCCGGTGAGGTCTTAGAATTTGATTAGCTTTTGCTTATGTGCAAAATGCATGCTATATGCTGTATATGGAATATACCTTCTTACAGGGAGAGCTACTTGTCGTTTTGCCGTTTTCCCAAAAAAGATTTTATATTCGTCTTAAAGAATATGGTTTTTTTTTCTACAGAAATATTTCTATTTTTTAACTAGCATTTTTTGACAGAATTTTTAATACCATTCGAAAGGTACTGAGCCCAACTTTAAAAATATGATTTACCTGTGAACATTTTTCGTAAAGTTAGGGTGGTTTAATGAATGCCAGTTTGGGACAATTAACGCGCGATATATTTGTGCTATTAACGCGTAAGCGGAGATTTATTCCTTATAAGGGAAATCGTGTCAATTTAGATTGGGGCATGATCTTTAGTCTGTTTAATATTTTGCTATATGCAAAATATATCGCTGTATTTTTTACCTAGTGTATTTTGAAAATTTTATCTATTATTGTCCCGATTTTCGAAGAAAGTGAGGAATATATATGCCCGGGGAGTTTTTTTTATTCAGACCGATTTTAGAAAAGTAAACTGCATATGTGCGTCGATCCGAGAATCTTGGGATTGCCAAGCGAGTATGCATGCTCTATACTAAAGTGCGGCATTGCTGGCTGAAATAATACTTTGATATTTTGTTTCAGTGCACAAATTATTTATGCGTGGCGAATTATTTGCACTCATAATTGTTCCAAATTAAATTGAGGCAAGCCAATTGGTCTTACTAATTCTATAAACGACTCAATTTTTTTGCATTATGATCTGCCTAAAATTTGCAGTTTGTCAATACGTCTTATACCAAAAACAATTCGAGACCAATTAATGGGCAGTTGGAACATTCAAGGCTTTGCCTTGATACGCGCAGTCTTGTTGTTCCGACTTTCGTAACGAAAGTAACGGAATATTTGTGCTCGAGGTGGTTGTTTTTCTTCAGCCAAATTTTGACTTTATAACTAGCCATTTTTGACGGATTTTTTAAAAAAATGTCAATCAAAAAGTATTGTTGTCTTGAGCTTAAATTTGAAAAAATTTCACCTGTGATCTTTTTTTTGTGAAGTTGTGGATTTTAAAGCTTGCTATTTTGGCCAGCTTGGGACAATTAACGCGCGATATATTCCGCGCTTTTAATGCGTGAGCGGAGATTTAATCCGTCTTAGAAATCGTTCCAAATTGGTTGAATGAAGCTTACTTGCCATAATTGATTTGTTACAAGGAGCGAAATTTATCCTTTTGTACTTTATATGGCGTGTGGGGGGATGATTTTGATATAAAAAATTCAAAATTTTGAAAAAAAAATTTCATTTTTTATTTCATTTTATTTTTTAATGTTTTTACTGCTCCATAAACCCTAAAAGGCAGTCAGAACATTCAGGGCTTCGCCCTGATACGAGCAGTCTTGTTTTATTTTAAACTACTCCATAGAAATTAAAACGAAACGCAGTCGATAATTCAGGGCTTCGCCCTGATACGAGCAGTCTGGTTATTTAAAGAATTCGCACTGTTTTTCAACTGTTTAGGAGAATGAGCGGCTGATAGAGTTGCAGCAGAAGAACCACAAGTCCGAGTCCAGCAGACTCAACCAGAGGATCCGGGCACTCCAGATGGAGAAGGAAGACATGGAGAAGGCCATTCAGGACCTAGACCAGAAGCTACAAGTGAGCTCATCCTATCTCGACTAAACTCATATCTTTTTATTTTCATTTTTTAAGAAAGAACTATCTTTTTTTCAGTTTTTTGTTCCGACTTTCGATACGAAAGTAACGGAATATTTGTGCTCGGGGTGGGTTTTTTTTTCTTCAGACAAATTTCGACTTTTTAACTAGCCATTTTTGACGGATTTTTTTAAATATCATTCGAAAAGTATTGTTGTCCTGAGCTGAAGTTTGAAAAGATATTTTACCTGTGATCATTTTTCGTAAAGTTATGGGGGTTTAAAGATTGCCATTTTGGCCAATTTAGGACAATTAACCCGCGATATATTTTGCGCTATTAACGCGTAAGCGGAGAGTTAATCCGTCTTAGAAATCGTTTCAAATGCGTTTAACGAAGCTTATTTGCCATAATTGATTTGTTACAAGTAGCGAAATCTATCCTTTTGTACTTTATATGGCGTGTGGGGGAATGATTTTCATAAATTTCAAATTTTTGAAAAAAAAAAATTTTTCCTTTTTTTATACATTTAGTTTTTTAATGTTATTACTGCTCCATAAGCCTTAAAAGGCAGTCGGAACATTTAGGGCTTCGCCCTGATACGAGCAGTCTTATTTTGTTTTGGTTATTATTATAATTCATCAAAGCAATTTCAGCGCTCAAATTTAATAAAATATGCTTACTTTTCAAAAAAGAGATTTCTGTAAATTGGTCGTAATTGATGTAAAAATGTAAATAAGCCTCAGAATAAATATATAAAACTATTTTGCTACTGGATTCTGAATGTTAAAGCAAGAGCCTTAATATGATTCGCAAATTGCTGATTTCAATCTGCCTGAAATGGGCTTAACACTATCTCCGTCATAAATCCTTCTGCCCCTTGCTTTCATTTGAGGTTCCTAATTATTAAGACGACATTATTGTTCCGACTTTCGATACGAAAGTAACGGAATATTTGTGCTCGGGGTGGGTTTTTTTTTCTTCAGACAAATTTCGACTTTTTAACTAGCCATTTTTGACGGAATTTTTTATATCATTCAAAAGGTATTGTTGTCCTGAGCTCAAATTTGAAAACATATTTCACCTGTGATCATTTTTCGTAAAGTTATGGGGGTTTAAAGATTGCCATTTTGGCCAATTTGGGACAATTAACGCGCGATATATTTCGCGCTATTAACGCGTAAGCGGAGAGTTAATCCGTCTTAAAGGTGTTCCAAATTGGTTGAAAGAAGCTTATTTGCCATAATTGATTTGTTACAAGGAGCTAAATCTATCTTTTTGTACTTTAAATGGCGTGTGGGGGATGATTTTCATAAAAAATTTCAAATACAAAAAATTTTTGTTTTGTTTTATTACATTTAATTTTTTAATGTTATTACTGCTCCATAAAACCTTAAAAGGCAGTCGGAACATTCAGGGCTTCGCCCTGATACGAGCAGTCATGTTACTATTTAATAACGAAGAATTGCTCGGTTTTGCAGACGTTTCAGTTACCGTTTTATTTTCCAGGAAAAAGACAAGGAGCTTTCGATCCACTACATTTATGCTCAGAGATTGACCAAGCCACCTTCTAGACTATTGAACACTCCCCCCAAGGCCCTTCATGTGAACAAACAGACCATGACAGAGCCAGACATTGCACAGCAGAAACTGGCTGACGAAAACCTTCTACTGCAGGTACCTTCTGTAGTTAATAACAAATTTAATTTCGAACGCATTGCAATACTGACATATAGGGTTGTAACAAGTTTGAACATTCAGCCTTAATTAAAAGAGAAAATGATCTAATCTAGAATCTTACGCACAAAAAAAACTTAGTTTTTCAGAAAGACTGTTCAAAAATGAGGTTGTTATGCTAAGTTAAGTCTGTATGGTCGAGTTTGTTATCAGTCCAAAGTTATAGCAGTTTAGCTTAATTTGTTTTTTTTAAAGATTTTTAGTTTAGATTTTTAAGCATGGATGTAAGAAATAGATTGAAACCAACGTCGAAGTGAGCAGTTTTAAAATAATTAACTTCGGTAAAACTTGTCGACCAAAAAGGATTTTGCTGACAATTGGGCATTAACTATAGAGTGTGTTGTTACAGCAAGAGGTGAAGCATTTAAGAAGTCAGTTGCAGTCCTATGGGGCCACTCAAGAACACATGGACCAGGAGAGACTGAAACTGGAACAGGAACAGAGGGAGAGGGGGGACAGGGAGCGGGAGTTCAAACAGCAGATGGAACAGGTAACGCCTCCCCCCCCCCCCTCCATGAAACGCATGGAGCCGCAACCAAAAATAGCCGTTAAGATGACATTTGTGATGTATTTTAGGAACATTAATAGCCAATGCGAGCAAAAGTTTTGTAGCCAATGCGAGCATTTTTTAACCTAATTGTTTTAACCAATTTTACTATTCGGCTTCCATAGAACCAAGTATTTAGCTCTTCTGCATAGTTTGCAAGATGCATATTTTGGACGTTCTACATCGAGCAAAATTTCTAACTTCGAGTGGAAGAGAGTTTTGAGCATTTGCCCGTGGGAATTTTGAACTTAATACCTGTTTGCTACAAGATAAAATTCCTTGAATTTTTCATATTGGGTGCCAGACCTGCCGTGGAATTGTTGTTTTGTCGCTGAGACATGACCACCAAGTTTTTAACCTGAAGTTATAGCAAGAACACTGATATTTCAAGTTGGGCAAATTTGGGAAACAAATGTCTTGAAATGTTGGAATTCTTCATCATCATTCTTTCTTTCTTTATTTTGACACCCTTTCTTGTTCTCAGAGGTGTTGAAGGCAGGGTGACCACTTAGTCTGTTTAAATAGACTGATCTGTTTCAGTCTGTTTTCGGTCTGTTTTTTTAGCGAAGTCTGTTTTTCTGCGTATATCGTCTTTGGTGCCTTTGACTAAGAAACGAGATAGGAGTATACAAGCGGAAAACGCCGAATGAAGAACTACGTGCAGTGTCAGCCGAGCTGAAGGCTGCAGAAGAAGCTTTGGCAGCTGTGCAGAAAAAGAAAGCCGCTTGCAGGAATGTAATGACTCTGTTTCTGCCCGTGTAATTACACCGAAGACTTTAGTCAAGGTGTTATGGTATCGTGTAACGGGTTTTTTTTTATAATGTTGTCTGTTGTCAAGTGTCGACAAATAACGTCCACAGTTATCAATTATCATGTGGGCTGGACTATATCGCGCTATGTCACGTGATTGCGTATGTTTGTTTCTTTATTTGTTCATCTTTATTTATTTAATTATCTGTTCTTCTATTTATTTAATTATGTTTAGTTTGCTTATATTTATTTATAATTTATGTATCTACATATTTATTTTTGTTTATTTTTATCACGTGTTTTGTTTATTTATTTAATTATTCTTTCTTTCATTTAGTTTTGCTTTTATTATTTCTGCGTGTGTATTTATTTAATTTATTTATTTTCATTTATTTATATTATGGGTCCTTTTTTAGTTCTCGAACTGTTATTCCATGATCTTTGTCAATATAGCAAAATTTTGGTGTATACATGTCTTAGTACGATTTTTAGCTCTAGAACTGTTATTCCATGATCTTTGTCAATATAGCAAAAATTTGACGTATACATGTGTTAGTACGATTTTTAGCTCTCGAACTGTTATTTCATGATCTTTGCCAATATAGCAAAATTTTGGTGTATACATGTGTTCGTACGATTTTTAGCTCACCAACTGTTATTTCAGGCCCTTTGTCAATATAGTAAAATTTTGGTGTATACATGTGTTAGTACGATTTTTAGTTCTAGAAGTGTTATTTTATGATCTTCGTTGATATATCAAAAATTTAACCTATACATGTGTTAGTACGATTTTTAGTTCTAGAACTGTTATTTCAGGCTCTTTCTCGATATAGCAAAATTTTGGTGTATACATGTATTAGTACGATTTTTTGTTCTAGAACTGTTATTCTTCAATTATTAGTTGTTCAAGTTGTTTGGTTTTTGCTTCAGTTTCTATGCCTTCGGTGTATTGCGCGTAGCGCCTATGTTTAATAATTTGTGTAATTAATTTTAATTTTGAAGTTCAATTTAAAGTTGATTGCAGTCATTGTTTTTCATAACTTGCAGATTGATGATTTTGGTCTGTTTTTTAGTCTGTTTTTGGTCAGTTTTTTTTTCATTCGATTCGGTCTGTTTTTTGTCCGAATTAAAGTGGTCACCCTGGTATTTTTCAGTCTTTCGGACGTGCATATGAGATGACTGGTTAACTTTAATTATAACTTTAATTATAACTGGTTAACAATTAACTTTCACTCATTTTTGCCTCAAAAATACTTTTAATACTTAATGTTGCCTCAAAAAAAATTTTTAGGAAAAACTTTGAAGGAATTAGCAGCCAAATTTAAACCATTTTCTCGCCCAGTTAGACAAAAATGAAATGATGACATTTTTAAGGTCATTGCTGGGCACTATTTTTGTTTTAAAAGTTCATTAAGCCCTTCGTTAATTTTGCAAGTAAGGAGTGTCTTATCGTAAAAAAAGGACAACACATTAGTAAATGCAATATAGTCTGATTTGCTGCCGTTTTTGGTGCTCATTAAGTTCGTTATTTTTCAGCGGCTCGACTCTTTCGGTTTTTCGTTTAATTCGTTACTTGTTTTTACTTATAGCTTACTATTTTGACTACTGTTGCTGTCTTTTGTTTCCAGGCCAGACAGGAGGCGGAGGAGGAGTCTAGGAAAAGGCGTGAACAGATAGAGCTGGAGGCGGAGAGGGAGAAGCGGGAGCGGGAGGAGGAGGATGCGAGGAGGAGGAAAGAGGAGAGTGAGAGGACGGAGAGGGAGAGGATCGACTGGGAGATCACCCAGCGCAAGAAGATCGAAGAGGGTGAGAATTTACACTAGAAACTAAAATATATTTATTTTTAAAGTAAAAGGTTCGAATCTCGGACTATGGTGAACAAATTTTTGCCTAATCTAACGTAGTGAACGACAACGCTGTCCTCCTGTTTTGGTTAAGGGGAGTGATTGTTCACTGGAGCTCGAATTCCGATGTCTATTACCAGTTTTTATCGTTTTCAATTCTGATTATATATATATTTTTTAAAAAGCCAAGGCTTTTCGTCGGGATAAAATTGAGAAAAATTGCAGAAACAACTGTGTTCATTGTTGAAAGAAAATCAGATCAAACTTAGGATTTTACTTCTGTAAAAGTTTAAGAAGCACAGAAGAACTAAAAATTTTGTCCAAGTTTACATTTTTTACGACTGATATCTAAGTTAATTTAATAATCTGAAGAAACTGTGGCCTGCGCATTTTTTTTCACTCGATGTCACGGGGATCGATAGTGGTATCATATTAAGGTATTTCAGAAATGGTATTTCGTCGGAAAAGGTATCTCAAAAAGTTTTCTGGCTGCCGAAAAAAAACAGTCTGAATGTTTTTACTGCTTAGACCAGAGTTACTGCGGGGGAGTTGGACTTCCCGTTAGTCTGATTTAACAACTTTTGTTCATTACGTTGTAGGAGACATTCATCTTCTAAAATTGTGGCTGATTTAAATTAAGAGGGTCATTATGATACAATTGCGTTATCTGCGTATCTTTTGATCAAATAAAACAATCTAGAAACTGCTTTCCAAAACATCCCCATTCGTTGACTACGAGTTTAAAAGTTTTAGGATAATTAAAATCAGTTTTTGTAGCTGTCGATTCTGTTTTATATGCTGAGATAATCCTCATGATAATAATTGCGTACTTATTTTTGGTATTTGATATTGTTCAAAACTTTTGGTTCTTAGTATTTTCTTTACCAACAACTATTCGATACCAATTAAGGGGCACTCAGAACGTTCACGGATTTGTTCTGATATTTGAGCCTTTTTGTTCTTTTTATTGAATTAGTTTTTGATTAATAAATGATGATGTTCTTGAGAAAAAAGTTTAACTGCTGTTTTTAAAATATATATATTTCCCGACACACTATGTTAAGGAAAAAAGTATTAATTTCGTATCTTGTATTGTATCAAGAAGGCCGACTGGAATACTTTGCCTGAATTCATTTTAAAATGATGGCGCATTAAAAGAATGACTATTGTGCTGTGATTATCCCAAATTGGCAATGTAAAAACCAAGATAAGTTTACAAAAAATGGTCGCAGTTGAAGTATGTTTTGAAATTGAGGTCATTAATAGTTTTATGGAGGACATTATCAGGACATTAATAGTCTTACGATGGTTTAAAAAAGTTTTGTCAAAGTTTTGTTAAAAAAACAACCACGCCGAGAACGAATTAGTACCTCTTAATAATCTCACGGTTTCAACTACTACTTTGACTCATACTATTATGTATAAGACGCAAGAACCAACCCTAGAAAAAAAGTGGTTCCTACTATGCTCGTGGAACGTTAGCACATTATAAGGAAATTGTCTGTGTTACGCAAAACTCTAGAAAGAAGAAAGATATCGGTGGGCTATCGACAAGAATCTCATTTTCGTAATGGTGACCAAAATATTTAAAATTTACTGATGAACGAGTTATGCGCCTAAGATATGTATTAGGGCATACTGTGTGTGCTATTGTATGTGCGTACGCATATAAGATAATAGAGAGGATTCGGAGAAAAATTATTTTTGTAACACGCTAGAAGATACTATGGTATCTTTACCTAATCAAGAATGTACTTTACTGATTGGCGAACTGAATGAACATAGTGGAGAGTGGCACCGAGAATTGGACTGCAATGTTGGACTTCCTGTTTTGGGACTCAGACCTCAGAAGGTCAGAGACTTATCAGTTTCTGCCAGTCACAAAATCTAGCCGTACTAAGAACTTTTTTTCAAAAACGCTGCGATGATAAGTATTGTAATCTTTAGAGTGGAGAAAGTTTCACCCAGATTGGTTTTATTCTAACCCGATCGTCGCAAAGAAGCTGTTTTAAAAGTTTGAAAGCTCTCAGCGGCGAAAAATGTGGTAACCAACAGACTTGTTTTCTGTAATTTTTCTCTTGAAGTTCCCAATTACGGCCATTGCTCATAACCAGTTAGAAATTTAAATCGTGGAATTTAAATGAAGGAGAAAAACATGTGTAGTTCTAAGAAGCAATGAGAAAAGCTAAAGAATAATCAAGTACATGCGAACTGAGGAAGCTTCAAATCAACACTTCTAGCTTTAAATCAACAATTTGACTTATACTAATATGTATAAGACGAAGGATTCTACCCGAGAAAAAAAGTAGTTCCTACTATGCTCCTGGAACGTCTGCACATTAAAAGGAAATTGCCTGAGTTACGCAAAACTCTAGAAAGAAGAAAGATATCGGTGGGTTGTCTACAAGAATCTCATTTTCGAAATTGTGACTAAATGTTTAAGTTATACTGATGAACGAGTTATGCGCCTAAGATATGAATTAGGGCATACTGTGTGTGCTATTGTATAAGCGTACGCATATAAGGTGATAGAGAGGATTCGGATAAAAATAATTTTTATAACTTTTACAGGCGAACTTCTAGAAGAAGCGATGAACGTACGTGGTGAAACAATCGAAAAACCAGCGACAAAAAAAAACAGGGTGATTGAACAAAAAAAACAAGCTAAGGAGTTAAAAAGAAAAAAATTTTGTTCAAAAAGTGGCCGAGGTCCGTAAATGAAGAAGAAAGTCTGATATATCGAAAACAGAACACAGTTGTCGAAAAGCTAGTTGCCGAAGCTGAAAATACATCAAGCCAGAAATGATGTCAACATCAAGAAAATTGGTGCAAAGGTTGTGGTTGAAACAACGTTCAATGAATGTGAAGATAAACTCCTGACACGTGATCAAGATGTTCTCTCGCAGTGGAAAAGTTACTTCTCAAGTTTTGTAAATGAGACTAATCGGAAGATATTTTTCAAATGGCTGGCCTATTGTAGAATTATACTATCCAGTAAATAGCACTGGCCTTCCGAGAAAATAAAAAAACCAGAACCAACAGGGCTAACTTTGGACATGGTAAGTTTTGCCAGAGAATGTCGACTTGCTGGATTTTTTGAGTCCTTAAGGAAATCTGGAACGATGGGATCAAAAATAAAACTATTACCTTCACAAAGCAAAAGGCGATTCTTTAGAATGTGGATCCTACAGAGGAATCTGATTAATCGCGAATGCATTAAAAAATTTCAAAAAAGTGCTGAATAAACGTCTCAGACAATCGATAAAAATATGAGACATAAAATTTAGTTTTATGAGAATTAGAGCAACTACCGATGCCGTTTTTCTGATTACAAATTAGAATGTGACCCAACATATTTATCAATCTGAAACCCTAGATACTGTCAAATAGTTCTGCTATCTGGGTGGCATGATTTCGGTTGAAAGTGACGCAAAACGCTGCATCTTCAGTCACAATAGCAGCTTTCTGGACAAAAAGAGGGCAAATTGCGCCTCTGGTGCTGAATAAAGATATTGAGTGGGGTTAAAGGTATCATTGCTACGAAGCTTGTCTCTGGTCAGTTCTGATGTACTGCTCGAAAATTAAGGCTCAGACAAAGGCGCTTTCCAGCTCTCTTAAGAACGCTTTGAAAAACATGCATCGGTTTTAAAAGCTCTGAGTCTTTTGAAAAGAAAGATTTACCAACGAAGCAGTAATTGAAATTGCAGGTTTTTTTGATCTGCACAAGCTACTAATGCGGTCACGGCTACGATAATCTGGCCATGTTCCTTGAAGAGAAAATGACCATGGACTAAAATCAACAGACCGTGTTTCATCCCAGGACAAAAATCAGCAGGAAGACCTTACAAAACGCTGCATCGATAGCGTTAAATGAAACCTGAATACTTGAAGCTCCAAACTCACAGACTGCCCTGATCGAATGTCATGGAAAAACGTACTATCTTTAATTAAATAGCTTGAATGCTATTAAAAATGATCTCAATTGAATGCTAGAGCTCGTCAAGCGTTTCATATTAACCATTGCTGTCGCACTTTCCAAATGGCCAACCTCGCCACAATGGGAAAACGGGTAATAAAGCGTTAGTAGTATTATTAATTACCGTGGTTATTTTTCAACAATTTATTTAACAGAATCAGATTAAGTGTCCATCATTCTAGCTCTAAAATTTACCTTGCATTTTCAAAATTGCTTAGGTAGAATTTTCTCTGTCTCGAGAAAATTAACAGTTATTAGATCATTTAACTTGGGAAATCAGTTTAAGCTTTGTATTGAGAGTTTGAAAGATTTTGTAAAAAACCTCCTTGCATTACGAATTGTTCAAAATATGATGCACCAGTTAATCAATTCAGGCTAATGACCTACTTAACAATGTCTCCCGTTCTCCCCTATGGTATCTACTATAGAATTTCTACCCCTTAAATAACTCAGTAAATTAGCTCTTTAGCGTTCTATTGAGAATTTATAATGTGCTGCATGGTCAAAAATTCGGCTTATTTCATCTACTTAGAATCGCGTCCCCCCTTTCTTGAAAGGGAGAGATTGTTAAGTAGATCCCATACAAATCATGTCTTAGTTTCGCAGGTTTATTTCAAGCAGGCAGTCACTAAAATTTCATAAAAGAGTTTCAATGTGGTTAAGAATTATAATTTAAGAGTTGAAGATGTTTTGTTCTGGTTTAGAAATCATTCGGGAGATGAAAACACATTACCAAACTCGACTGCAGCAAGTTGACGTGCAAATTCTAAATCAACTCAGGGAGAAAAAGTAAACTGCAAATCAACAAAAAATAACCAATATAACCAAAAAACAAGCTAACCAGAATAAATACCAAGTGAGATCTTAATTGTCTCAATATGGTTTGAAAAGCGCGACGATGCGTATAGTTTTTGCCTTCAAACGGCTATTCAGTTTAACTCAGACAATAACCAAATATTTAATGACGACAAAATAAGCTTTTTTGTTGTTTTGGTCTGAAACTAACCTATATTGTTTGCTCATATACTTTTCTCTATTGAACACGTGTAAATGTGATTCTCCGAAAAGAAAACAAGTCTGAACTGACTATTGTGATCTTCATATTCGCCAGTGGTAAACCTTTTTTTGGGGCAAAGATTAAGCAGAGACGATCAAATGTTCCAAGAATTGGTTGCCGATGTTTCTGCCTTTTCTGCTTATTTTTTACTCTATTTGTTTTACTCATTTTGCTTTATTTTACTTTTTGTTTTGCTTTCGGTCAGTTTCTCAGCTTCTTTTTGGGCAGTTTCTCAGCTTATTTAACTTTATTCTTTTAATAAATCCGTGTGCTGCTCTCTTCACAATGAAATTTTGGATCGTTTTTGTGTTTATGGTCCCACAGCAAGTTTCGACAACATGACGAAAGGCAGTAATGTCCATTTATATAACCAAAATCAATAAATTGAAATTTTCATTTATATTTCAATTTGATTAAAAACGAAAGGTAAGTGGAGAAAAATTAAATAAAAAGGACTTTAGTTGTACAGATAAGGCTTGAACTTTTGTCTGGAGACACCAACTTACCATTTACAAGCGTTAAGAATTTAAATTTTTTCTCTTGCGTATTTTCTATTTAAAAAAATGGTAAAAAAAAGAAGTTTCGAAAACAAAATGGAAAATTGTCAACTTTTTGTGTACATTTTTTTTCACTTAAAATTTAAATTCCTGTTTGATAAAAAAATGTATTATCAAATTGTTATTGCGATCGGGTTTTTTGTTTATTTTTTTTGAGACGCTTTGGAAAATTTGTCGACCTTTTTTTAGGTCAACCAAATTGATTTTCCGAGCTGTCCCAAAGCACTGCAAAGAGCTTGCTTTCGCCCAAATTTCTGCGCCGCAGGCAAAATTTTGAAAAAAAAACTGGCCAAAAAGGCGTTTTTTAGGCACTTTTTGGAAAATTTTTACCAAAAAATTGTGTTTTTTCGGCGTGCGCTCCCCTCTCAAAATTAGTATATGTTGGTGCCTAAGGCGCATCTAGAAAAATTTTAGGGTCCGTCACCAAATATCGATGACTTAAAATAGTTCAAGGGGGGACCCTTTGGGTCGGCAGGGGGTGGAATCCCTGAAGAAAGGAGCGTCCCCCCCCTAAATCCGCCCCTGACTCTCCCGAATCTGAAATTTTGGTTTCAATGGGTTGAGTGGGTTGTGTAAAGCTCCCCTGCATCAGCGGTTACGTCCAAATTTCTGTTTTTACATAAAGTTATGACCCTCAGAAAAGTCAAGTTTTCGTTTTTTGGCTTTTTTTCTAATTTTTTGATTTTTCTGAAAAACTACCCTCTCACATCTGAGTTTTTGATTCCAATAAAAAAACGAGTTTTAGGAGGCCCCCTGTGTAAACGGTTACCCCAATTTTTTTACTCAAAGTTTATGGGTTTCAGAAAAGTCAATATTTTGATTTCCTGTCTTTTTTAGAAACTTTTTGACTTCTCGAGAACAACTCAAGCTGATACCAAGTGTTTAATCGAAGCAACATGTTGTGGATTACCTCAGTGCATAAGATGCTACGTCTCAAAGTTTTTATCAAAAATATGTCTGGGAAAATTCCAAAATCACAAAGTTTTACTCATATTTTAATAGAGCAACAACTAAGGTTTCGGGTGAAGCCCAATTTTTGAAATTAACTTTTTCATCCGACATCAGTACAAAAATTCAAAAAATTATCAAACAGGTATTTCCAGCTTTAGCTGGTCCTCTAGTTTTTAGCAAGATTTTTAAACTAGTGAAATTTTTAAATTTATTTTACGAAACAACTAATTTAAATGGACATTACTGACTAAACGCTACCTCTAATCTCATCAGTGCAGGTTGTATAAAGGTATACTACTCAGAATGGCGATAGTTAATGCTAAAATTGATTCTCAAGTTATCGCTTGTTTTTAGTAGTAACGTAACTAGATTTTCTTCTCTGGCCTGAACTTTTTTTTGTAACTTTCCAGGAAAGAAGAGGCGGCAAGAGCAACGGGAACAACAGCATCAGCCCCAGGAGGAGGAGGAGGGGGAGGAGGATTGGTTTCTCAAGCTAATCACAAAGAAAGAGCAGCCCAACTCGCCCAACAACAACAACAGCTGCAACCACACTGCCACGGCAACAACAAACAGCACTCTCCTCTCACCTGTAACAGGTACGCTCACTCCTTTTTTTTCTGACCACCTACAGAGGTAAGAACCAACTTTGGACAAAGGCTTTTCCCCACAAAGTCAGGGGTACAATTTTTGTTTAGTTGGTGTTTGAATTTGTAACTGGTCGAAAAATTCTTTGCTACTTGTACAACGACCAGCTATTCTTGTCTGCTTTTGCGGAAAGCGAATTTTATCAATTTGCGTCCAGAACTTTTTACCGTAAAAACGAGTTTAATTCAGTCAACAGTTGGCTTGGTAGTTTCGCTTTTAGATTATTTGTAATGCTGCTAATACGTCTATACTAAAGCTGCTGGCTTTTAGTTGAAGCTATTTTCTAATCACGTATTTCTTTTTTCTTACAAGTTGTTAATTTTTTTCGAGTATTCTATTCACAGAAAAACGGTTTATTTTTTTGGTAGAACCTTTTTTCGTCTATTGTTTTTGGCTAAAGGGGTTGATTATTTTCGGTTGAATATCTATCAGCCTAAATTTTTCATCTAGTTGCTTCTGTCATTTCAATTGCGATCAAAGATGATGTGATAAGATTGCAATTCGACATGAAGAATTAATTATTCGAGTTTAGTTAATTACAGGTTTTCAGGAGACTTTTCTGGTTGCTTATTTTTCTCCATTAGTCAAAGTTTCGCTATAGTCAAAATTTTTGCAATCCTAAGAATAGAAGCAATGTTGATATTTGTGCTATTTCATTCGCTTATACTCAAATTTGATTAACAATTTTTGTTTTCATTTTCTTGTACGTTTTTTTGGGTTAACCTTGTTGGGTTCAGCCTATCGTGATGCTTGTTTTCGATTGTGCAGTTGCCTTAAGAGATCATATGTGTGGATATTTAAACAACTGTTTAGTTTACCTAACTTATTGACGCTGAACTAGTTTTGATCTGATTCTGTTATTAGTTTGAGTATAACCAACTGTCGAAATGTATCTAGTAAAATTGAATTTCATAATATTAATCAATCTTAAGCATGAAGTTGATGCTTTATATGTCGATTGCGCCTATATTTTTCTCACCAAAACAAGTTATTGCTCACATTGATTTCAAAAGAAACTTGCTTCACATTGGTCTACAACAGCTTTTTTGTTCTTCTCAAAGTTGCAAATCACTCGTTCTGTTTTTAAATAATTGGAAATAAAAGTATATCTCAGTCTATTACATCAACTGATTTGAAGCTGCGCTGTACTTGTGTTTTTGAACCATTAAAAATATAGGCTGTTTTTTATGCTGCAAATTTTGTTGTTCCAACTCGAATTAACCTCGACAGAATTTTTGTCCTCGAATTGGTTTCTGTCGAAGGACATAATTTGATTTTAACTAGTCTTTTTTGCCAGTTTTTTAAAATATTATCTCCAAGATATTGATGTTCAAATTGATATTTAAAAGTATGCTAAATCATTTGCAAATTTATGGCGGCTTGGATTTTTTTTGACGTGTAATTCAAATTCACATTAATAACGCGCAATGTATTTCGAGCTATTAAAGGGTCAGCGGCAAAAGTCATTTCAATTTAAATTGAGTCTAGCAGTTTTCTTTTTTGTCACTTTACATAGCGTTGGGTAGGATAATTGTTTCAAAACTGGAAAAAAAATTGAGGGATTTTTCAAACAATTTTTCAGGCAAAGCATTTTTCACTTATGTTGAAGGGCTGTTAGAACATTCAGGGTTTCGCCCTGTTACGAGCATTCTTGTCTTTCTTTAGCTTCAGAACCTTTTTCTTTTCCCCCACCTGCGATTTTTTACACGTAATTTTATGCTCAGATTGCCCGATTGTTATAAAAATTGACATGCGACTTCTTCAGCACCGACTGCGGTACCTCGAGGAACTTGTTAATAAAACTAAGACCGAGATTTTATTTAACTCATCTTGTGATATAGAAATAAGTATGAGAGCAAAATAGTAAATGTCAACACAATTGAATCGGAGTATCAACTTAAATCCTCCATAAATTGATAGAGAATAGTTACGCAGTTTAGCACCAACGTAAGTAGCGGTTTATCGGGTCCTCAACAAACTTGGAGTCCAAATGAAAACATACTTGAAATATCATTACTATGACGTAATATTCTGTGCACGGTTTACGCTGCACCATATTTCTCTCCTCTAGGAGGAATTTTTGGGAATGAACAAATGTAACTGAATATAAGATACAAAATTATAAGTTAACACAGATTGATTAATAGGATGTACATTTTGGTAGACAAATAATGGAAAAAGTACTCAGAGTTCAATAACGAGTTTTCTGTGGCTAATTTTCAAAATTTGTAAAGCGAGTTTTGTGCGGTTGAATGAGGGAATACTCCTTTTTCTTTCCGCCTGAACGGATCCTCCGATGATGACTGCCGGAAACAGATAAACTTCCTCAAATATCCTTGCGAAGAATGAGGCGTCTTGACCGAAGACGACTCTTCTATCAGGATTGGCTTGTTAAAGCGTACCTTGTTGTCCGGAGAGACGATTTTTGGGCTACAGACTGGGAGTTGAACTGACGGGTAATTGATTTGATTTACTGAACGACAAACCGGGCTAGCGTAGAAGGCAGTTTGCTTTTTTCTGACGCACATGTAGGGATAGCGCTTTCGAGCTTGGTTGACGGAGAAGGAACTAAGGAGATCGGAAAAAAATTGGGATTTTGAAGAAAACTGAGTTTCGTCATCCGACGTGATCGGAATAAGGTCGGGGCATGCTAACAACGAGGCTCCAGAGCTTGGGGAGCGTACTGAAGACCCCCAGACGTTGATGAGGATATTGTTAGATTGAGGTTTGGATTTGAGCTGCCTTGTTCAGGTCTGATGCCCGGAGCCCGTCCAGAGGGGCCTTCCACGGTCAATTTGTTCGGCTGTTTTGGTCTGATCGATTTGATTTAAGGCGAACCGAAATGAGTTTTTTTCTGATAATCTTATCTGTATCGATAACATAAGTTATCCCAGCAACACGGATAATTTTACCCTTAAAAGGTTTGAATAGTTCACCTCCGACTTCCTAACTAGTTTTTTTCAGATTATCTTGACCTTTTCTGGACTATGAATAAATAGGTTATCCAAATTCCGTTTACTACTCGACGATGACGGTTTTTGCTTGCTGGCTTTGGGCTTCTGAACCGTAAGGTCCCTGCTGACAAATAGTGAGAGATCACTGCGACCGAAGTATATGGGCCTCCAAAACACGAGACTTCAATGGGCTTGACTGCCCCTTGCGGACCACTTTGATCCTAGTCCTGCTGTCACACTGCTCTTTGCACTGTTCGGTAGCGAGGAGGTCTTCGTTCCAGGTGCTGATTTTCTAAATCAACACGTGGTGATAGACGTTCGGCGGCAATACATAATTCAGTATTCGGTTCCGACCAATCTGTAACTCAAACGTTGAAAATCTTGTCACAGAAACATTGTGACTCGAATACTTTCACTAATCTGGCGAAGTGTATCCTGAAAGAAAAACAAAATCAGGGCTTAGTTTAGCCGCCTCGAATCTTCTTTTGATAGTCTGTATCGCCCGTTCCACCAAACCACAGCCTCGGTGATCCACAACAGGGCAGAAATGTTGTGAAATGTTTTCCTCTTTACAAAAAGACTCGACAAACTTATTTTTAAACCGTGAATACTGATCGGTTTCAATTTATTTAGGATTACTATGCTGTTGAATATAGGATTCCAAAAATTTGTGTTTTTTTTTAGCCCTCAGTCGACAGTGTGAGCATGGCTGAAGGATACTTAGAGAATCGGTTGATTGCGACCTGGATGCATATTTCATTACCTAGATTATCCTGGATAGTACCACATAAGCTAGTTGTACTTCTTCATTTGGTTTTTGTAACCTAGATAGAGGTTGAGAATAACTAAACGAGATACGAGATTTCAAGGTTTTACCGCTATTGGTACATTGTGGGCACTCCTTGCGCATTTGCACGATATCTCTGTGCATCCGAGGTCACCAAATATTATAGGCGGCGTCAACTATCGCCAACTGTCCAGCATGGTAGCGGTGAGCCGGGCAAGAATCGCCCTCTGCTACACGTTCGGAATGTGTTGATTATCCACCCCAATACATCCGTCTACCACGCTCGAACACTGCAAGAAAGACTTGAGATAAGCATCAATCCGGCTGAATCCTTCGTAATCTTTGTAGAAAAAGAACCCGTTGCATGATGCGAAAGCTAGGATCTTCGTCTGTGATCTCTGCCAACACGTCAGCATCGAGGATTCCCACCAGACATGACAGTCACTTCTTATCTGGCGCGACGATTGACTTCTTCAAGACACCCAAGCTGAGCACTTGTTCCCGTGGGCGGTGATCGGTGCGACTCCGATTGTCTGATATTAGTCGGCGTGATCTGAAGTTTCCAAATACTCGGGCATATACTCCCTTTGCCGCTGTTTTCTCTGCTGAAAAATTCCGCCGCTGTCGAACTGCCCCAAATCTGTTGCTTGACGCGATCTGTTCACTGCAAACCAAGGTCTGTCCAAGGGAACAAGTTGGTTGAGCAGGAGTTCAAAACTGTTGTCTCGAATGGTAGACTGATCCATAAATCTCCTGAAATTGCACGAAGAGAGAGATGAATAGATACCGCAAGTTCATGGAAATAGTGAATTAGTTCCACCAGCAGTCGAAGAAACAAAATTGAGACGAGAAGTGTGAGAAGACAACACACTTGGCATCACACTAGACTCTCGTTCTGCGATTTTAGTCGTAGTGATACATCTTCGTAATGATAGCGATAAGACCAAGAATGTTTTTGAATGCGGTCTTTTGATTTTTCCACCGCTCAAATTTGTTCTAACTACTCAATTTCAGAGATGGGCGAAGTGGGGCGCGGTAAACCTGTAAGCAGAAATTTTTTAGATGGTTTAGTATTCCCATAAACGACCTAAGTTGCTTTAGGATTTTGGGAGGTTTGAGTGCTAGGGCTGCATCTATTTTCGGTCTCTCAGGACGATAACTTTCTGAAACTATATCAAATTCCAAACATGATAAGAAATTGTGAGAAAATTTGGGAGCAACGCCTTGTCATCTAGACGAACAAAACTTCCTCGACTAATCGGTTATGCTCAATTACTGAACCATTAGAGTTTATAAGGATATCATATAGAAGCAGAACACTTCTGACAATCCTTGTAGTGTGTTGTCCATTGCTTTTTCGAATTTTTTGCCATGTCTCTAAGACCGTAACAATTGGTCTTGAATCTATACGTGCCCATATGTTCACCACATATAATTTTACATTTGCAATGGCTACTGACTTTTTCACTCAATTTGATCTGGCTCAATGCGTATTTGAGGTCCAAAGGTGTGAACCACTCGTCTCCACTAATTCTCGATGTAATAATTTGAGTCTAATTGCTCAAACGGTTTGGCATCGGATGTCGGTTTTTGTGGATTTGGTCATTCATGAGCTTCGCATCTATGGCTAGGCTCACCGTACCATCCTTTATTGCCGTAATGACTATCGGAGAGATAAAAAAGTTCTTTTCATTTTTGTAAAAATTTTGATGGCATGTGATTTTTTAATAAGTTTAGTCGTGACTTTTTTTCTAAAACGATAGAGACCTGAAATTTGATCTCAGGTCATTCTTTTTTCTACGGGCTTTGTTTTTGATTTCTCACATAGCACTCCAGTGAAAAAATTATCAGGAATCATAAATACTCATTGTACCAGGTTGAGTCATTTATAAGAAAGCCTCTCAGTCGTGACTCACATTTCAAAAAAAAAATTTGAAAAATTTCTCTTAATGTCGAGAAAAATTGTCTGAGTGTTTCCGTTTTTGAGTAATTGACTCAGGGTAGTAGGTGGGAGGATTTTGCGCAACAGTATGGGTATCTGCAGTGGAGAATTTAGATTGTTTTTGAGGGGGGGCGGATTTTCCAAAAAAAATTATATAGATTTTGTCGACCATTATTTTAAATAGGACAAATTGATTTTACGAGAGCTCTTAGAAATTTATAAAGACCCTATTTTGACCAAAATTTTCTTTGCCGAAGTCAAGTTTTTGAAAAAAGAGGTCAAAAATGCCGTTGGTGAGGGGGTTGATCCCTGAGGGTGGGGGCGTCCGCCTCCTCCCGTAAATCCGCCCCTGGTATGTGATATTGCCAAATTTGTTTTCTAGTTAATCTTACCTAATTTTTGAAGTTGGGTCTCAATTGGTTGCTCGAAATTTTTTATTTGTTTCTTCAAATTAAAAAAAGCGAAATTGTTTGACCTTGTTTGCAGGTGCCAGCGACGGGAAGCAGCGGCTGCGACACTCACAGGAACTGCCGTCCAAAAACAACAACAACAGCAGCAGCAGAGCTCTAGTGGGGTCTCGAAAGAGCCCCATCCCCCCTCTGGAGGACAAGTACATCCCCCTAAACAGCACCACAGCAACAACAGTCACCAATCGGAGACACTCGTCCGAGGCCTCGGACACACAGACCCGCGAAGAGGTAACCACTCCTTTAAAAAACAACCTATAAGCTCTCTATTACCAACTCCATTTGAGTTTTGAGCTATACCATAGGTTTAAATTACTCGAGTGAACTATGATCACTTTTTTAATTACAGGAAATCTTATTTTGTATACGGAGTCCAAGAACGTTTCGTCAAAAAGCAATCATAAACTAATTTGTCTATGAATAGAGTCTATTTTATTTTCGTCTCTTGTGATTTTTTTCTCGTTTGTCTAGAAGAATGCATCTGCTTAAAAACAGGTTTAACAAACAGCTAATTTTATTATACGTACATTTTATACAGTGCTGGTTTAAATTATCCGGACAAAAAGAATAAAAATTGAAATTTAACAACAGTGTTATCTCCAAAAGTGGGCGCAAAAGGTTTTTTAAAAATATATTTAAAAAGTTGGTGTTTAAATAAAAATGACATTTTTTTGGTATCAAACAAAAATGCATATGTTTATACAAAATTGAGGATGTAGCCCTTCTTAAGTTGTGTAGGGCTACATAAGAGGCTTGCAGTGATATAGTTTTGCCGTATGAGTGATACGAACTTGATTCAGACTACCCTCACTGACAAAAATTGTTTCGGATTGATTTAAATTAATTTTAAATCGATCCAAATCGATTAAAAATGTACATTTTACGAACAAAATTGAATTTTAAATCGATTTAAATTGGTCTTTCCGCCTCACTTAAAGCCATTCGAATCTCACTTAAATCCATTTTAAATTGTTTTAAATCGGTCTTTCTTGAAATTTTTGGATCGATTCAAGTGTCTAAAAATCAATTTAAATCGATTTGGATGGATTTTTGGCCTCACTTGAATCAATTTTTTTGCTAACACGGCGAAAAAAAATCATGCTATTTGAAAAAATAATAGAATTCAAGAAAATGATCCTCATAGATCAGATTTTGAGCTCGAAAATATGCAATGACATCATCAAAAATTATCATAGTAAGTCAGATTTTGGGCAAAAACTTATGTAACAAATCAAGAAACAAATGGTCAATATAGATCAAATTTATAGCTCAAAGTATGCAGGGAAATCATAAAATGATATCGATTTGTTTAAAACTATTTCGTATTTTTTATTATGCTACCAAACGCTATGGATGTTAAATGAAAATCGATGGGCAATGAAAAAAAGCAACACACATTCTAAACTTATGAAATTAGGATGAAATAAAAATAGATTTAAATCAGTTTTAATCACCCTAAAAACTAAAACAAGATAAGGCTGAAAAAATTGGATTTAAATCAATTTAAACTCGATTTGGATCGATTTTCTTAGCTGGGATTTAAGATCAATTTAAATCAATTTAAAATTGCTCCAAACAATCTTAACCTTTTCCATTTAATCTTCATACTTTTTTCATACTAAAACTGATCTCAATTAAATCTACATACTTTTTCATACTAAACTCATACCTAATCGATTTTTGTCAGTGTGTGTAAAATACAGTTTTGTTCAGCTTTTTTTCTGTGATGACTCCTATTCGTTTTGTAGGTGCTGAGACAACAACAAAGCGAGCTGGAAAGGGAAGAAAAGGAGAAGAAACTGCAGCTAATCCAGCGACTGAAGAACATTGAGAACAGTCAGCCCTCCTCCTCCCCCAACGACAAGACCCCAATCACCCCCTTTGCCTCAACCCCCCTCAATCGCCCCTACAATCAAGCACCAGTGACCCCCTACTCGAGACAAAACTCAAAAACAGGGGGTGTTGTTTCTAATTACAAATTCATGTACTCGGAAAATGTAGACAATAGTTCGAAAAACACAAACACTTCGGGCAAACTCGACTTTAAACGAGACGACACCGAAGCTCAACTGAACGCCATTCTCGGGGGAACTCGCGAAAGGAGAAAACAAGTGCAAAAGCAAGACCAAGTGAGCTCAAATTTCAACTCCGAAGGTCAAATAAGTTTATTCAATGGGAAATCTAGCCGTTCAACTAGCAGAATTCACAATCGCCAGACTCCTAATCATTATGACCGCGAGCGCAGCGATAAATCTCTGATGTCAGTGCCTGATATTTCGAAATTGGAACTCAAAACACGTTCGGCCAATCGATACGATACAGATATTGAGGAACTTTTGCTCTAGGTAGTAAAGCTAAAGTGCAGATAAACTGTTTTTGATGCTTTCCATTCAAAAACCTTTCTGTTAAATTTGAAAATTTTAATTTGGAATTGTATCAAATTATAAAAACTTGCTCGTGACTTCTGCTATAATCTGAAAAGGGAAAATAGAAAAACTCGAAAGCATCAATTATATATATATATAAAAAAAAACAAATTCCAGTCATTATGCCAAATGTTGAACATATGTAAAATCTTAAAATATGTACAAGTTATCAAAAGCTAAACCCCTTAACTAATTGTACTTCATAATTTGTTTTTGTTTTCCGCACATTGAATTAAGCTACTTCAGCTATACGATAAACTTTTTTGAGGACGACAACAATGATAACATTGATTTCTAACCATGTAATTGTTTTTGGGACATTGGACCACTATTTTTCATTCCTGTGAAACAGAACAAGATAATGTGTAAAGTTTTTCATTCAAAAGACATTTCGACTTTCTTATAATTAAAAAAAGCAATAGCTTTTGATAAGTTTACGTAAAATGTACATGCTTATTGCGCGACAATAATATGTTTTTAAAGCTATATTAACAGGACCTTTTTAGTTTTCTGCTTTTGTTTTCATTCCTTAAATTAATTGAGTTAAATCACCAAGTTTTTTTACCCAGCTAGACGAGAATAGATGGTCAACAGTCGTGCAACAAGCAATCAAAAAGTTTAGTAAACTCGAATTGGATTCCGCAAAGTTGGTTTATGTTTTGAGTTGGTTTGTAGTGAATTTATAGTGTAGTTTTTCATGCAATAACGTGTTCCCACAAATGGTTTAAGCAGTTGTCGCCCATTGAAAGAATTGTTGCCTATGAAAAAGGTTTAAACATTATTTTGATAAAATTGCATTGCCCTGTTGCAAAATTTTTCTCCGTTATTTGAGCAAACTTTTGGCTTTTGCTTATTAAAAACGCAATTATTATTACTTGATAGTTACTGGTAATAATTACCTTTGCAATAAGCAAGGGTATTGCAGTCCTTTTCGAAATTTTTTTCCTGTAAACAACTTTGTTCACAGAATGGTCACTTTAGTAGGAATGGTAAATATAAATTCTGATATACTCAAATTCTTGAAATTCAAAAAACTACCATTTAAAAAGGCTGTTTCAGGTTGTAATTAGTTTTTCAAGTTCACCAAATTTATAAGTTCACTCCTTAATTTATAAGTTCGCCAATTCTGATTTTGCGTAATTTAATTTTTCAATTTTAAAAAATTTAAATGGTTGTTATTTTGGCTTAGTCAACTTATGTTGCGTAATTTTGAGTTTTAAATATAATCGTATAGGATTACGTGCTTCAGTATGGGTGGGTCGTAAAAACATTTAAAACTTTGTGAATTTTTTATGACAACACTTCTGTTTTCGGACCAACAGATTTCGACCCAAAAAAATTGTTGCCGCTCGGTGAATAATTTTCAATTTTTTTAAGGCTGCTATGAACTTCATCCGATACAAGTATGAAGTTTTTGAAGCTGTAGTTTTTCCAATGTTTTTTTTTCAAGTTATTTTTTCAAGTAATTTTTCAACTCAAGTTTTCAGATTCTTTTTACTTCTGGCTTTTTTTCCGCTGACTGTATTGTAGCACAATATGTAGCGCGATTCGAAGTTTCTCAAGCTAGTACAATACTGGCTGCTGTATTTTGCCACATCAAACTGAGTTCCAATTTAAAACAAATAATTGAAATTTTTGGGTGTTGTTTTTTTAGCGTTTTGTCATTTTTTTCAATTCGGAGGCTTTGTGTATTGCAAGTGGTGCGAAGATCTATTTTGTTTCTGTTTAAAAATTCTTTTATTTTAAAAAAAAATCAAGGACCAATTTCTTTCGAAGGTTGCTTTTATGTTTTCTGGATTTTATACGTCCTTCAAGTTTTTTTTGTGCATCAGAAATGCAACTCCACCTCTGCGTAATCTAACCTAACTATTGATTTTTGACACTCTAATTGCAACCTGGCAGTTTTCTTCTTTTTTTCCTTCATTTTTTCAGGTTGACAAAAGTGACCTTAAGAAGAAGTGTTTAAGTCTTATTCTTTTTTCGATAAGTAGTAAGTAAAGATATTTTCAAAACATGTGTAATAAAGATAGCATGAAAAACTGTCGTTTTTTTTAGCATTTTTTGTACCGTTTGCACTTCAAATTTTTTTTCAGTCAAACTGATTCTATTAAGACAATCAATTATTTTTGAAGAAACTTTCGTTTCTCATTTTCGTCGTTTCAATTTTTTAAATTTGAATACGACGATGAATAGAAGTTTCCCAAAATTGTTCCAGTCTCGAGAAAAACCGATGTGACTTTTTTGAGTGTAAGTTGAGCGATCGAGGACCGCACGGTAAATGAAAATAAGACTACGACCACTTGACTTTACTTCAAGTGATATATGTTGCAAGTTTGCCTCAGTAGCTTCAACTCATACTAACGCGAAGTTTTGCAAGATTTTTTGATAGCTTGAAGGGCAACATAAAAAATTTAGATATTTCAAAACAAACTTCATATGTATTAAAGAAACGTCGAGTTGTTTTAATAAGTTGAATTGAATTATAGAAATTTGATTACATCAAGATGGCTAGATAGATACTATTTAATAAATCAAGACGTTTGTCAAGGTTTTTGTTTGCGTGCATTGCTCTGCAAAAAATTTTCAGCAAGCATTTATAGCCTGCATATTTATTGTATGTATCCAATTAGTTTGTAATAAATTTGCATTTTGTCAAGCAACAACTGCTACCCTTGACTATCTAAAAGTTCTCAAAATTGAAGCGTTTATAGAATACTTAACTTATTAGCTCAAACATTAGACAGTTTGACACCAATTAACAAAAGCTTTTAAAAGCAATTGTTGCCTACAATAATTATTGCTGCTTATAAGAAGGCTTTAACATTTGTTGCCTACAATAAAGATTGTTGCTTATAAGAAGGCTTTAACAAAAGTTTTTAAGCGTTGCGTTGCAAAGTCTATTTTGCATACAATATCTGCGTTATTTTCTGAACAATATTATGATTTCCGCTTAATAAGAATAATAATTCATAACGCTTGTTGTATGGAGACTTTTTTATCTGACTTTTAGGACAAAAAAAAAACTTGATTTTACTTTTAAAAAAAGACTAGTTTTTGATAATTGACTTAGCGCTTGCTTGGCGAAAAAAAACGGTTTTCTAAAAAAATTGGATCAATCATACAATTTCTTTCCTCAAATGACGTACCGTAGAGTGTCCTCCCCAGCATGTAATACTTTTGTAATTTAGTTTTTGAAAATTTTCAGTTCAAACAAGCGCGCTGAATATACTACTGAAAAACTTTTTTATACCAAATAGCTATTTTATCCCGTTAATAGCGTAGTCGGTTAGTCATATTTTTGTATCGACTCATTTTTTTTACTAATTAGATCAATTTATGTTGCCCTCGAAGTCAATTTTAAAAAAAAAATTATTTTTTCTACCCTTAATTGATATGGGGAAAATTGTACGGTTGATCCAAAAAAAAACTGAAATTATTTTGTAAAAAAGTTAGAAATAATTTTTTTTCAATTTCTTTATTTTTGTTAATTTTTTTGATGACAAATGTTGTCAATCATGCTTAAATCACTAATTTTTTACGCAATCGTATAGTTTTCGAGTCTCACCGCCACCCAACAGAAACGGCAGTAATTTCAAGAAAAGTAGAAAACGAAACTTTTTTTTATAAATATGATCGGATCATTCTGGGCTATTTGCAGTGCAACTGACTGTCCTTCTTAAATATTTAGAATCGATTTAAGCCGTGTAAGTTTCTCATCACATGAATTGCAAAAAGACTTAAAAGTGAATAACACTTTAAATATAAAGTACTCATTAAGTTTTAAAGGAATCTTTCAAACGAAGACAATTGAACACTAAATGATTGCATTTGGGATACCTTTTTAAGTTTACATCAAATCATGATACTTTTGAGCAAATATCCGTCATCAAATATGTAGTTGTCAGAACTAAGCTCTCAATACAGTACCTTGAAATGGTAACAAAACTAAAATATAATTTCTTAGTCGAAAAGCGAGAATTATTTATGGCTTTTAGTTATCATTGTTTTTCTGAATAGGCTTAAGCTTTGAAGAGGACCGAGACGCTGGATAAATGCTTTTATGAACTACTTGAGATGGAATACGTCTCTTTTTTTCTCCGTCTTATTCAAAATTACCGATTGGCGTAAACACCCCATGCACATTGCCAGGCCAAGTTTTTTAATTTTGATCGCAAAATCCAGAAGACCTGTATTCGTAAATGGAATCTAATAAATCTGTGCTTAAAACTGTAGTTTGAAAAAGTTTAAAGACAAAAAATGAAATCCGTTACACAATCGATTACGATGAACTAATTTTGTTTCTCGATGAACTACTTGATTTCTCCATAAAAAAAATTGCGAAAAGTTATTTCAGACTTCATTTATTATTGGGTCAACGGTGAAAGTTTGCATCTGAAGATTAAATCAATTGTTGTAGAATTAAGTAACGTGACGGAAGAGCTTTTTTATATCTTGCAAAACCAAACGCGGCCTCAGAAATGCGCAGCTTTCTTCGAAAATTAAAGCTTTCTGAGAGACGACCAAAACGGGGTGTATGACGTGCTTTTAAATGAAGTAATACTGAGTTAACTTATGCTGATGCAAGTTTCTGAGCTAACTTAAAGAGTTCTGGTATAAGTATAAAGCGAATATAGAAAAAACGTTAGCTTTATTTTCAGTTTGTTTTTATTGATGACTAAACCAACTTTCGTCGTTTGATTTCTTGCTTCTTTTTTGTTTATTATAACCAGTTTATTATGGCAGAAAAGTCGGCATTTAATTTTGACGTCAATATTGCAAGCTCGCCTCACCAAAATGGAGCAGGTAATAATTGATTAGTGTATTTTTTTGTTCAGGGAAATTTTAAAATCAATTTAGCTGCGATCAGTAAAAGAAAGTGCAGTTTTAGTCCTTTAAGTAAAAAATATAATGAACACCTATCTATCAAAGTGTGGGTAGTTATCACTATCAGATTTCTGCAGAATAAGTGTTCGATTGTTCCGATTTTCGAAATAAATGAAAAACTATTTTTGCTCATTTTGAAATGCCTGATGATATTTGCTAAATTAACGGAAAGAGTACAAAAATGAGCCCAAAATTGATTTGTAATTATATCTGCTTATCCTTTTAAATCTGCAAATTCCAATTTTGACCATTTGAAAGTTCAAAGTTAATACACGTTAATACGCCCAGAACAATTAATACGCGCTATTTTACTAGATTTAAACCGTAACGCGCAGCGTAGACACCGTGCTTATCCGACCCAGAAAGTGTTCAAAGATGAATTGAGGCCAGCTAATTAAACTTGAGTATCAGTTAAAAGACAAAATATAATAATGTAGTTCCTGGCGAATCGCAGAGGATCTATCAGTAGGCCTTAACAGTCCTGTCAAGGATAGTCCATGAGTATTATCTCTCCACATTCCAGTTGAAATTCTGTTGAGCGAGGCTCTTTTTTTGCAATTCATGGCCGTTTTATTGCGTCCAGAACTTTTACGTGGTACCCTTCCAGCCGAAATTGGTCAAGCTGTGGTAGAACTAAAGCTTGAGGTCAAATGAGAGCTGGTCCTCACAAACTATCATTGCCATGGCATGGGATCGAATACATGAGCAAAAAATTCACCACGTTATTCTTAAAGGGACTAATCATCTTTTATGCACAAAAAAACTTTTGAAAAAATTTTCTGTCAGACAAACTGAAGACACCCAGTGCCTTTCAGTTTTCTCATGGTAAGAGCATTCTTGTTTATAATCTATCTGAAAATTTTCAAAAGTTATCCTCAAAATTATTTTATTAAACTTGTCAATTATCAACGTAAAGATTTAGAAAAAAGTTTTAAAAAACTTATTTACGATCAAAGTGTGCAGTAAAGGTTCAAAAAACTATAATAATATTTCAAAAAAATATTGCTTTCATTTTTTTACCCATGGCCGGTGAAACTAATTGGAAAAATCTGGTGGAAAAAAAGCAGACAATTTTTTTTGATGTCGGAAACAATCAGCCAACTGTAATTCGTTTCAGAATCATTTTTTGGAAACATCCTTGTAAAAAACACATGATTTTTTTAATTTATAGGCTCAAAAGTGATGAGGTTCTATTAATCATTATATTTTGTAAAATCATTGAAGAAAGAAATGTGAAAATTTACTAAGCTTGGCGTCAATAACTGAAAACGACACATGTTTTGACGTTTATGAAGCTTTAATGCCGCTTATCCCGAAAAATCCAAATTTTTTTGCAACATATTTGTTGGTTTTTTATGCCTCAGCAGGGCTGCTTAAGATGTTTGATTCTTCTGGCATCATCGGCTAGATTATATTCAGTTGAGAATAGTTAAAAAGATCCCGTCTTCATTTTTGGCGCCCAGCTCAATCGTTTATCAAAGTTTGCGTTAAAAGAGTTCCAAAACGCAAATTTGGGTTCATTAATTGAAGTTGTTTTTCAGGTGGTACGCCAATAAGCAGAAGTGCCAATAAACTGAAAATAGAATTACCATTCCAACAAGCCAAAAATTAGTATTTTTATGCGACATAAAAACAGATCTATTCATACGTAGTTTTGGTGTAATTTACTCTGATGTAACTTCGGTTTCAGGATATGGCGGTTTGTAGATATGGTTTGTTGTTTTCAAGCTTCAGTTCAAGAAGATCCTTTCAATTATTTTAATTAGTCCTGGTAGCGAGCAAATCAATTATGGCGAATAAGCTTTCTTCGAACAAATTGGAACGATTAATAAGACGGATTGAATATCCGCCTAATCGTTGATTGACCCAAATTAACCAAAATGGCAAATTTCAAATCCCCATAACTTTACAAAAAAAGTATCATTGTTGAAATATCTTTTCAAATTTAAGCTCAGAACAACAATACCTTTTGAATGATATTTAAAAAACTCCGTCAAAAATGGCTAAGTGAAAAGTCGAAATTTGTCTGAAGAAAAAAACCCGACTCTTGCACAAATATTCCGTTACTGTCGTTACGAAAGTTGGAACAAAATTTTTTCACTTGAGAGCATTTTTCCTAAAATTATGGGGGCTCAAAGGTTGCCATTTTGGCCAATTTGAGCCAATTAATGCGCGATATATTTCGCGCTATCAACCCGTCAGCGGAGATTTAATCCGTGTTAGAGATCGTTCCAAATTAATCGAAAGAAGCTAATCGGCTATGATTGATATGTTAATAGTAACGGTTTTTTTTCTTCAGACAAATTTCGACTTTTTAACTAGCCGTTTTTGACGGAATTTTTTATATCGTTCGAAAGGTATTGTTGTCCTGAGCTTAAATTTGAAAAGATGTTTCATCTGTGATCATTTTTCGTAAGGTTATGGGCGTTTGAAGATTGGCATTTTGGCCAATTTGGGACAATCAACTCGCGATATATTTCGCGCTATTAACGCGTAAGCGGAAAGTTAATCCGTCTTAGAAATCGTTCCAAATTGGTTGAAAGAAGCTTGTTTGCCATAGTTAATTTGTTACTTTAGTACTTTATATGGCGTGTGGGGGGATGATTTTCAGAAAAAAAACTTAAAATTTCAGAAAAAAATTTCATTTTGTTTCATTACATTCAATTTTTTAATGTTATTACTGTTCCATAGACCTTAACAGGCAGACGGAACATTCAGCGCTTCACCCTGACACTAAAAATCTTGTTACTATTTTCTGATTCAATGATGATTAATAGTTTTTTCGGTACTCAGTTTCAAATTTTGAAACGGCAATTCGAATTTCTTAAAAAGTTTCGACATTTTTGAGTCGAATGCGTCTTATTTTTGGACTCTTTCCAGTAGTGTTTTCCCTTCAAATCTAGCCGCGAAATTTTCACAAAAGGTCCCTTTTTAGTAATAAGTTTAATTTCCTACTTTTGGTTGACCAATATCAAAACTTTTTCTAAAAACACCGTTGGCGCAGATATATTGAAACTTGAGGGGGATTGAAAAACTTTGAGGAAGCTTCCGACTCTTCAACTTTTTGAAGTGAAGTTGCTTATACCATTTGAAAGATTGTGTTTTCTTGAGACCAAAATAAAATTTATTCTGCCGACAATCGTTTTTTTTGCAACGTTATGCGGTATGAAAACTGTCATTTTGGCACCCTTGAGATGGTTGATTATTAAAAGGAGCTACTTCTATAGGTTTTTGAGCTGCAATAGAATCCAGCGCAGAAGTGATTCAAAATGGATTAAATTAGTTTGGAAAATTTACTTCAGACACGATAAATTGCTGTAATAATGTTTCAGGGTATGCCCTGATACTGTGCCGTGGTAAAAAACACAGACTATTTTTTGATGAAATCTTTCAATATGATTTTTTCCTTAAAATTAACAGATGGACAGAGCTATGTTCGCATTGCAAACTCAATTTCTGAATAACTTAGGCAAATTTTGTTTCAGGACCGAAAAAAGAAAAACCGAAACAAAAGAAGACATACGCCTTATTTTCACCAGGCGGTAAAAAGAAGCGTAAGTGTTAATTGCTTTAGATCTTTCCAAACATCTGCTCTTAATTGATAACGGTTTTTTGGAAAGATTTGATTGGTGGCTTGAAAAAAGAGCAGATTACATAATCCACCTTAGTTCATAATTCGAGGTGGTAAAAACTGAAAATTATTTTGTTTCAGAGACAGAGGACGAGTTGCCAGAAATCGGTTCACCGACGAATGTTGTTCGCAGCGGGGTCAGTTTTTTTATCAGCAGTCATAATGCGCCCATTGCGGCAGTTACCGCATTGTGGATAGCAAAATTTTGTAAAAAATCATGCAAAACCCTGGAAATTTCCTGCAGTAAGATTGTATAGGAATTTTTATATCTTTTTTACTAAGTTCTTACAAGATGCTGCATTGAATATATTTTCCATTTTTTTTGCGTTTTTTCATTTTTCTTTCTGTAGTTTCTGCTAGTTTCTAAAAAAACCCAGCATTAGATATTAATGAATTATGTGTCCCATGACGATAAGTAGTAGATGTTGGAGGTTAAGTGGGGGGGGGGGGGGGAGGGGGGGGGAGGTGGCAGACCCACATGTTTTAAGATAGGGAATAGAGCATCCGGTCTGCCAACTATGTATTAACATTGGGTATACAGTCTACAATGTATTAAGATAGGGAAAACGAATGGTAAGGTTTCAGTGTGATGGTAAGAGAAAGAAAAACGTAATTTTTTTGGTTTTTGAGTGGAAAATTCTAATTTTTTCGCAAAAATTTCGGCGCCCGTTACCTAAGTGTTATATATCAAAGGTTAAAAGGTTAATTACGAGTAGTTTGTGTAATGAAGGACTTTTAATTAGTTTTTTGATATATGGTAAGTCGATGGTAAGAGTTTTTTGGGTAAAAACTTGGAATTTTTATGAAAACATTTTCAAAAAACTTCAAACATGATAAGGTTAGCTATTATTTGACCTAATTGATTAGATAATCTTACTTTCTATCTAATTGAAACAATGCTGAAAACTACAGAGACTTCGGAAAAAGTCAAATTTTGTTGAGAAAAAAATGCAAAAATTTCAAGTGTTTGGAAAAAATTGCAAAAACTTCAAGTGTTTGGAAAAAATTGCGAAAATTTCAAGTTTTTGGAAAAAAAATTGCAGAAATCTCATAATTTTGGTTAATGTATTGTTGCTTTTGATCTAGTTTTAAACGTATTTTTACGTATAGATTTTAAAATTGAGCTCAGATTGTATTTTAATTGGCATCATGTTGAGACAATGATGCAAAATTTTGCATAAAAAAATGAATTTTTCCACAATTTTTTCTCAAATTATTGAAATACGATAAAATTTACTTTAATTTGATTTAAAAAGCGGGTTACAAATGCCCTAAACACTAAAAATAAAGCTCATAATGGCAGAATCAATATTGAAACTTCCAGAAAATAGTGAAATTAATCGTAATTTTTGAAAAAGTATAGTAAAAAATAATCGAAGCTATCCAAATTTTTCCATTTTCAAACTTTTTTTGTTGATTAACTAACTTTTCATCCAGTTTAGGGAGAATTGAAATAGGATTAAGGCAATAATCTACGAAATTTCTAGATCAAAGTCCATGACTTAACTCCTCCTCAGTTTTTTCTCAATTATTAACCCAAATTTGTACATCTGAGAAATTTTTCACGTTAATAATAATGAATTTTATATCAATAATGGAAACTGAACAGTTAATTGCTAAAATTGACTAAATTGGGACAAGATTTTCTTAAAAGTTTCTTCGATATTGGTTAAAATTCAACAAAATCTTCTTCATAACTATTGATTATCTCTCTGTTGCTTCTGCAACATAATTTTCAAGATTTCCCGAAGAAACGTTTTATGTTTTTTATGGTTTTTTTTGCTTTCTGCTTAATGCATGTTTTCGCTATTGAACACACTTTGCACGAAAATTTAGTAAAAACTGGAGAATTTAGGAGGAAAATAGTATCAATTGAACAAACAATTTGCTGGCAGAGATGAAATTAGAACTGATACCGTCTGGTTATTACGATTAAAATTGTAAATGTCTTCCTCAAGGTTCCCCTGTTCAGTTGCTACAGTAAACAATTGGAGCTAAATACAATATTTGGGATCAATAACTATCACTTTTCTTGCAAAATAGATTTTAAATTGCTTTTTATTCTTAATTTATAACGGAAGTTTTCTCAAAAATATCCAAGTGAGAAAGAATTGGTGCTAGTTGAAGTATTCAAAAACAAATGTAAAAAATGAGAATAAAAAGTTGCCATTTTACGATTTAAGAAAAAAATAGGAGCAGCTCTATTAATTATAATCTGAAAATCTCCGGAAATAAGCAAAAAAACCTAGTTCCTAACATCTACAATATAAAAACTTCTATAAAAACGCGTCTCAAAAAATTGATTTAGCAAAGCAAATCAAGATGCAAACTGGAACAATTGTGTAATTTTCCGATTTTTATTAAGAAGAAACTCTATATAGTAAAAATGTAGTAATGTATTGTATATAGTAGTGTATATTGTATGTAGTATTGTGTATGTCTGTAGTATTGTGTATTGTATATAGCAAGGATATGTAGATCTGGAAAGCAAGTTTTTGATTTATGTTCCATGTATCTACTTACAAAAGATGTTTGAATGGGTTTACTTTACAAAAACTATCCTCAAACATCTGATTTTTCATATAGTTTTACCTATTATATCAAGTGATAATAAACTTTTCTAATGAATTACATATAAATACAAATCTTTGACACTTTTATGTCGTATTTTTTTTTCTCTAGATACACTTTAAAAGCTAAATTTTAGTAAAATTATCCCAAAACTCCTAATGAATTAAATTGAGTTTCTATCTCAAATTAGCTTTTTCTGATTTTCTGCTTCATCTACTATCTACCAAATAATCCAATTTGAACAAAATTTTTCTTGAAAATTGAAATTTAGATGGAAAAATGTATAGTTTCAACGAACGTTCAATAATTCGAAGCTGAATTAATACCACAAATCCTTTGCTAAAGGCCTTTAAATGATTTTCTCAAGATCATAATTGTATATTCAAGTTAAAATCTGCATTTTTATTTTATAGTAAATTCTAAGTTGAGAATGATCTATATCATTATCTTGAAATTATCTTGAAACACATACATTTTTTCCAGGTCATTTATCAATTTCTTTTCTGAAATCATCAGAAAAAAATAGAAAAGCATAATTCTTGATAAGTCAAACCCCATTATCTGCTTAAAAACGCTCTACTCTAAGAACACTTTTACAAGAACTAAACAAGGAAAACTTTGAAATAGTACCTACAAAAAACTTTCAATTAGTCGATGTTTTACAAATATCCAAGTTTTACAACTTTTAAGCAAATATTTAACTACTCATTAGCATATGTTATGCACTTTTTTTCTGACAAATTTATCGCAACAAAGTCTTCACAAGCTTGCAAGCAAGGAAGTTTTTACTGTTGATTAAAGGTTTCCGTTCGAGTTCCATGGAAAGTTTCACGACAATTTGAACTCGATTTTTGCTGTCTTTATCATCAATCAAAACCTTTGAATAAAAAACAAATGACAGTTCAGATATTGTGATGAAAACACTGTATAATTTCTGACTAAATTTGTTACAATTGTTTTTACTTTTCAGATTCAGTAAAAACTAAAACTCATAGTAATTCATATGTTTTAAAAAAAATTTAAAATTCTACCTTCTCTTGAAGTCTGTTTAGAGACTGCTGAGCACATATTTTAAGATTATGCTGAAAATGCTCCTTCTTGAAATGATTTGCGAGTTCCTCGCTGCTAGAAGTATAAAAATTACAGTTAGAACACTTCAAAACACCACAGGTTCTACAATGTCTTGATGCGTTTAAGCGAGTGTATTCTCTGCCACATTCAAGGCATGCAACTCTTTGGTTTCCATTCAATGACGGCATCTCAATAGTAAAGAAAGATTAAATGGGAGATTTAAAATGTACCAAAATTTTGATAAGATGAGTTGAATAGCCTCAAAAAATGAATAAAAGTAAATAAAAACAGCAAACTTATGAACCAATTGTTTTTAAGGTGAAAGCAAATCAGAATGGATATGCTATTTAGCCTAGCTGAAATAAAAATCATCCAATCTAACCATGGAGTTTTCAAAAGTATCAACCAATCAGAATCGAGCATTAATTACAAGGACATTTTTATCTTTTCTGATAACAACCAATCAGTATCGAGCTTCAATAGTCATGTAATTTTCAACAAATTCAATGTCAACTAATCAGAATTGAGCTTCAAAAGTCGTGTATTTTTCAACAAATTCAATGTCAACCAATCAGAATTGAGCTTCAAAAGTCATGGAATTTTCAAGAAAATTGATGTCAACCAATCAGAATTGAGCTCTTCTTCGCATGAATTTTTCAATAATTTTATTTTAATTTAAAGACTTTGAGGATACTTTCACAGGTTTTATTTGTGTTAATAACCAATCAGAATGAAGTATTCACAGATTTTAAAAATTTTTGTAGATCAGAACCAGTCTATGTTTATGAAACTTCTTAATCAATCAATTTTATTGAATTTTCCAACATAACTAAGATTTGAAACTTGATACCTTAGTGGGATAAATGAGATTTCTTGTCTATTTTATATTGTTTTTTCGATTTTCAATTCAAATTTTGAAATTTTGATCAAGATTTTTTCGATTTGTTCTATTTCTAACCAGTGAAAAAAGCAATTACCAAAATATACGTTTTTATCTTTTTCTTTTTGGTATATTGTAGTATAAACAACCGGAAATCTATTAAATTTGGATAAACGATCAAAAGAATTTCTGACAAACCTGGATTTTGTATTTGTATCAAATTCAAAACAGTAATCGAATTGATGTTCCTTATCTCTAATTTTTGTTTCATAGGCTCTTCCGTTGTTTTGTTTTTTACTGATCAACCACTCAATCTCAGTTAACTCTTCTAAATAAAAACATTGTTGATTGTTGATAAATTTGGCAGTACTCTTCTTTTTTTTATTCTCCTCTCCATCTTTTCAACAAAACTATTAAATTTTCTGTGTTTCTATACAAGCTAAAATTATTACAATCTCCATCAACTTCATCTGTCCACCACTCTTATTGTTTTTTGTAGTAGTTCAATTTTAAAGTCTGATAAATTTTCAATTCAGACATTGAAAACGCTTTTGATTGAAATATTTTTTTTACTGAAATATACGAAGAAACTTAAAAAACTCGAATTGTTTTAAG